GTAGTATAGTATGCGGTTTTCGAAAACAGCCTTTGTGTTCATGACACTTGAGGACACAGTGACCTTGACTTTTGACCTTTTATCACCGAAATCTAGTGAATTTATTCATTGACATATGTCACCGGACCAGCAAGTAAGTAACGGAGTTCAGTGAAGCATGACTCATTTGTTTGATGCTTCCTACAGGTAAAAACTAAAAACACGCATCACACACACATGTGACAAGCCAACAAACTGACCTTTCTGAGCCTTTGGGTTGGACTGGACCTCCAGCACTACAGTGGTGACTGCATCAGCATACATGTCATTGAGAGGGTTCGCTATCCACTAAAACAGGAGACACAGAGAAAAGACGTGAAGTGTGAAGAAGTGGTGCTATCATGACCGCAGCCGGTTGAAGTGCCCCCCCCCCCCTCTCCCCTGACCGCTCACCTCCAGCATCACCATGCCGACCTCGTGGATCAGAGTGATGTTTTTAAAGATCTTCAAAGTGTTCTTCTCGGTTCCATCCAGCTCTTCCACATCACCTGGGACAAGAGGAAAGACCGCCACAGTCAGCACAGATTAAGAGGCAAATCAGATCATAAAAAAAATAAAAAAAATAATGTAACACATATCAAACTGTTTGGTACACAAACACGAGTGTGGACCTCCTACCTGTGAGGTTTCTCAGGTGGCAGACGAGCAGTGAGTAAGGTCCGGTGAACGGGATGGCCTGGGACTGTTTGACTGTGCTCATGGCCAGCTCTGTGTACGCTGCAGAAACACACATCAGGGTCACTCCAACTTGATTTATTACTGCCACGCTCCTCTCTTACTTTCTATAAGTGTGCGAGTAAAACAGAGTAAAACAGAGCAGCAGTGTGCACAACTGAGTAGAAACTCTTGTGTTCACGTGATCCTCGCCCGGAATAACAGATGAACTGATCCTCCTGAGCTTGACAACCCACTCACAAGTAGTCCTCGATGCAGCCTGAAGTTTAAGACCTAAATAATATTCATGCAAAACGCCACACCAGTAATTAAAATACCTCTGCTAAGGCTTAAAACGTGGTATGAGGTATCATTAGGCAGCAATCATAAAGTTGATTTATTTTTCTTCTCCTTAACAGCATCCTCCACAACAATTATATATATATAAATAAATATATATAGTCTACCACTAGCAACTAGTTTCAGAGTGGAAAAGAAAGCTGATTTCAGCTAAGTTACCATGTGATGAAAGCGAAGAACAAACACCAAGGAAATAAGAGGATTGGAGCATATGAGAAACTTACTAGAAAGGTCTGAAGGATTGAGGATGTGGTAGTTGAAGTTCTTCTTCACAAGTATGCCTGAAACCCTCTGTCCCTGAGCACACTTCTTATCAGCCAGAGAGCCCATCACCTGAGAGGAGGAGAGGTGTTTAGGCAACACACGCAGTCTCTAGATTTACTTCAACTATCATCATCATCTAATATAGGCAATACGCACAAGTTAGCACTACAAACCCATGGAGAGCCCATCGTGCCTTCAGATCACAAACATCTGATGGTGAAATATTTTTTTTTTTTAGAGAAAGAATAAAGCAGTAAGTGAACCTTGGCCAGTTTCTCTCCTCTGAAGTTGAGGGTGACGGCCTCTGTGTTTCGAGGGTTGTGGACTTCGATGTGAACCTGATCGTTGTCTTCGTACTCCCTGATCAGCGCCGCCTTCAGACGGGCCATCTCATTCTGCTCCCCGTGGACCAGGATCTGAAAAAAAAAAACACACAGCCGAGCGTGGGAGATTTACAACGGATAAAACCGACGGGTAGAACAGACGGCTGAATGTTAAAAAAACCTGTATAAATGGACTTTGTGTTATTTCTGCTTGCGTACCACATGAGGTGGTTTGAGCGCCCTGATGAACTCGCTGGTCTGCTGGTAGTCCGTGTGGGCAGAGAAGGAGATGTAGTCCACAGACATCTTCAGCTGCAGCTTCTGTCCAGACATGGTGGTGATCTCCTCCGGCTCCGACATGATATGCTGTTGTTCAAAATTCACTGTTATAATACACACATCTGATTTGAGCTAAAGGAACAAAAATTGCTCTACATGATATCACATTGGATTTTTTTTTTTTTTTTGGTCTCCTATTACAAAACGAAATAGCACTTCCTGATTTTCCTGCTATGTTCTGACCTTGGCCAGTGTGCCCTCCACGCAGTATCCAGCAATGATGACTCCGTTCCTCTTATCGGTGCACCAGCTCTCGAAGAGCTCTCTGGAGAGCCCGCTCTGCATCATACCCGGAGACGCCATCACCACGCTGGGACCGATGTCGTCGAAGTGATCCATGCTCTGGAAGGACCCACAGTTATTTTCAGATATCCACGAGTGTTTTTAACATCAAGGGGCAGGTTTCTGTGTCTGTAACACTCCATACCTTCAGGTTGCTAATGTGCTTGAAGACAAAAGGGTTGTTGATGTTGATTGCTTTGCGGATCTTGTCGTTCATTGCGTTGACGTAGGTCTGATACACGGCCATGCACTTCTTGGCCAGGGATGAGGCGTAGTAGATGGGGATGTCATGGAGCTCTGGGTGGTTCTGCCAGTACTCATCTGCACCGGAATATAAAAGACAATCTTCAAGACAACTCTGATTCATAGTAATAATAAAAATTAGAATAAAGTCGTGCATTTCTATAGCACCTTTCATGCAGAGGCGTAAGCCAAATGTGCTAGAAAATCAGGATTAGAAAAAGCACACAATCAAAATAAACTAATAAACATAAATGAAAAAGCAGTATAACAACCAAAACAATCTGATTATGAATCAAAACATGTTATCCGTAATAGCATGATACATAAAAATTAGAAGATTAGTCTTTAATTCTAATTGCATTTTTGACTGAGTTGTTATATAATTGAGATGCAACAAAGAATCTTCATTTTGCTGCGTCGTGGAGAAATTGCCTAATTAGAGGCAAAGTCCAATCAAGGAGTGACAGGACTTCTTACCCAGAATGAGCAGCAGCTCCTGGGCTCGTCCCAAAGCGAACACGGGGATCAAGCAGCGGCCTTCTCTGTTGACGATGTCATGGACGGTGTTGCAGAACCGAGCTTCACGCTCCTCCCTCTTCTCATGGATGTGGGTGCCGTAAGTCGACTCCTGCATGACACGATAAAGATCATGCGTGTTTTTTTTTTTTAATAACCGAAAAAAGCCATTCAATGGAGGGAAAAAGTCAATTGTTATTTAGCTCACTATGATTAGGATGTCAGGTTTGACACTGGGGATCTCTGCTGCCATCAGATGCCTGTCTTCTTGTCGGGAAAAGTCTCCAGTGTACAGCAGCTTAGGAGGAGAAAAACAGAAGTGATTAGTTTTAATGCATCAAAAGCACTTTCTTAAAGACAAAAACATGATCCATTAACAAACACAGATTTTTTTTTTTTTTACCTTGACGCCAGCTATCTCTATCATGAACATGGCAGCTCCCAGCACATGACCGGCATGGTAACACCAGAACTTGATCCCAGCGACCTCCTTGACCTCGTGGAAGTTGATGGTCTCGATCTTGTCCATGCTCTCCTCGAGGTCAGTCTCAGTGTACAGCATGTCATCCGCAGAAATGTTGCTGCAGGAAGTGACAGAAAATATTAATTTTAGGAACAAGAATTCTTATTTTGAAGGATGTTTGATAACGATCACTGCTCCTGCCCCGACCTGACTTTGACGTAGTCTGACAGCAGCCAGCGGTAGATGGCCTTAGTGGCGTGGGTCATGAAGGTCCTGCCTTTAAAGCTGGTCTTCTGGAGGAACCACGGCAGAGCTCCACAGTGATCCAAGTGAAAACTGATGAGAGGACACAACAACATTAAAAGCATATCATCAAAAGAGTTCAAGTTGAAGGGCATAACTTTATAAGGATTCCCAAAATATCAAATGTAGACCAATCAGGTGAGGAGGACAGACTTACTGGCTGATGAGCAGCAGGTCTATTTCCGCTGGGTCGATCAAATCTATGTAAGGAAGAGCGTCCATTCCCTCCAAGCCAGGGTGGATACCACAGTCCAGCTGCAAATACACGTGACAAATCTTACTGAATTTATTTTGTCAAAAATATATTCACTCAGTATCAATGCTCATTTTCCAAGAAGTCCCTGTTACATACATTCAACAAAAAACACAAACAAAGCTGTAATACTTAGATAATCAAATTATAATTTAATAAATATAATTTAAAAGCAGCCTTATGAACTACATGTTGTACTCTTGCAAAAAAAAAATTGGGTTATTGTTAGATTTTTTTTTAAAATCTGAATTTGAATTCAATTTAATATTCTGTTTTATAATAAAGAGAATTATGTTGACCATGATTTTCCTTCCTTTGAACTCCAGTATGATGCATGACCTCCCCACCTCCTGACCAGCACCACTGTGGTCACAAAGGAAAAAAGCACATTAAGCAGGTCGTCACATTATTTTCATACCAAAATGTGATATTGACTTTTCGTATATATCATAATAACAAATGCACTCACAGCGGGCGAATCAGGAGCTGGTCGCTTTCCTCTGCGGGGACGATCACCTCCACTTTGCGTTTCGCAGCCATGTGCGTTACTGCTTCGTTGTTAAATTCCCGAAATATAATAAAATGAATCCTCTCATAACTGTGCCGTTTTGTTTTTAAAAAAAAAGAAAGAAAGAGAAATGAATGGAAGGGGGCGTGGTCTCTCGGAGCGTCACACATCCGGGTGTTGCGCCAAAATAGCGTCGTTAAATAAAAACAAAACCTAGAGAAAAGGTTCCGCAACAGACTTTGACCTTAAACGAATTTCAAAAAAACCAAAAAAACACATAATATTAAAAATGTCACAGGGGACAGAATATCAATGAATACATATAAAGGCATTTTAATTTTATGTAATATTATGTTAATATTCTCTACCCACAGGTGTCTCGGCTGTAATCCGGCTCTAGAAATCCTTACGTCGTTGCGACCCCTTTAAGTGCTGCTGGGTGTAGGCTGTAAAACTCAGAGGGAAGCAAAAGAGTCACACTGGAGGTAAACAGAAAGCTTCTTTGAGGACAACTCACAGCGAGACGGTCACTGGACTGAAAGGTACTTATTTTGTACACTTCCTTTTTTCTTTTTTTTTTAAATACTTTGCTTTTATTTATCCTGACCCCCGGGGGAAAGTCTTTGGTGTTCCGCCTCAGTACTAAAATAAAAGTGGTGGAGTAAGTTTAATATTTAATTTCCCTTATAGTTACGGGTAGGCCCTAATCGTTTTCTACTGGCCATGTCGGTCAGTCATGTAAACACAACATACATGTCATGTAAACATAACTTCAATGTTTCTGTTTCGCATCCTCCTTCCGCTCCATGAAGACCTTCAATAACATATTGCTGTGACGTCATGGAGGTAGAAGATACTGTTACAGTGAACAGGTGTTAACTCGTTTCCGCTTTTTGACGCCAACATCAGCTCATGGTTATTTTTTTTTTCCTCACAAACTACAGCGTTTACAAATCAACACTTCTTTTTCCAGCCACCACAAACATCACGAAAAACATGAGCAAAGTGAAAGAAACACCTGATTACTGGTTTGTGGTAAAATGTATTCTCAGTCAGGGTTATTTCATGTAAGGAGGAGGACAGCTTTGCAATATTTTAAATATTGGTTTTGTTACATGTAACATCTCAGTCCTCATTTTTGTGAAGAACTTGAGCCCTGAACTTCACGAGGTCTACTGGAGTTTTTTAATCCTTACTAACTAATACTTCATGAATACTTTACTTTAACTAAACTAACATTATATCTGTTGTATTCAGGATTACTTTCTCATGATGTTTGTGGGACTTGTTTGTTTTATGTTTGTTCTCAGAGAAGTCATCCTAAATAATAACTAGGTTAATTTTACTAATCCGCTTTGCTATTCTTCAGTTAAATTGAGTGTTGAGACGTGGTAGGGCGTCCCTGTCGTTGTGTGTGTATACAATGTGGTCTGTGATTTTTTCAGGGTGCTGAGGCTGGCGGGCTGGATGCAGTCGTCATGGTGAAGGATGTTCCGGAAAGTGAAAAAGCGCCACAGCAGTAGCAGCTCGCAAAGCAGTGAGATCAGCACCAAAAGCAAAGTACAACAATACACAAACACACACACATGTTATCACAGAGACACTTTCTACATGATGGAGTCTAACCAACAACATCTATTGTTACTGACTCTGTGTAGTCGGTGGATTCCAGTTTGGGGGGGCTCTCCAGATCCAGCACCGTTGCCAGCCTTGACACTGACTCCACCAAGAGCTCAGGTCAGACTCTCGTCTTCTTCTTCCAATCCCCCATCTTTTCCTTTCTTCCCTTTTTTTAATTTAAAATGTGTTTAGACCACGTCCAAACAGATGTTTATAAATGTATCATTTATAATCAAACTTCCAGAGTGATTCAACGTTCAGCTTTGTACAATATAACAAAAAAATAGAAAACATTTGGGGTGGGGTGTGGGGGTCTTTTTAAAAGCAAAAGGAGATACATGGTCATATACAAACACACAAAAAAACATTTTTACAAAAATAATAATGTTCAGGGAAATACATTTGCTTTACATATCTCCCAAACAAGTGTCATTTGGGTTTTCTGAAGCCTAATTCAGATGCATGTCTTTTCCATTATAAAGATTTAATAAACTTTTTTTTAATTTTCCAACTGATTCCTCGATATATTCCCTCGATAGGCAACAGCACCTCTGAGACATGCGCTGAGTTCCGGGTCAAATATGTCGGAGCCATTGAGAAGTTAAAGTTTGACATGAGCCGATCCCTGCAGGAGCCTCTGGACCTCATCAACTACATCGATGCAGCTCAGGTGAGAAAGATAGGGACGAGCTTCAGGTAGCAAATCATTTCTTTTCAGGCACTTCAGGCTCACAAAGATCATCATCACATCATCCGTTCATGATACCACAGAAAAGAAGATGCCGTAAGTATTTCTGTTGTTTTTTTCTATTTACAGCAAGACGGAAAGCTGCCCTTCGTGCCCAGAGACGAGGAGATGATTCTGGGAGTGTCCAAGTACGGAGTGAAAGTGGCCTCTCTGGACCAGTGTGTGAGTAGAAGTGAAACAGTGATATACTGTTCTTCAGATAAAACAGTTATTGATTAGACTATGCAGTTTTGCTGCATCATCAAAACAGCCAGAACAGCAAACTGAAGATTTAAACGTCACTTTATATTTTTGACAGGGTTCCGTACAAAGCTGCTGACTCAAGATATTTATTTTCTTCCACATTACCCATCTTATCTGAACGGCTGCAGGCTGAGCTGAATCTGGTGTACAAAACATTTGAACCACATCCATCTTTCTTTACCACATCCTGCAAATAAAGAAAGTTACCTTTGTATTATTCAAATAAGAAAAAGGATGAACACATTTTTAACAGTAGATGAAATCATTTTTTAAATGTTGCTTTTTTTTAAACAATGATTCATTGAGTTTTTAACATTGTGGCAAAAGTAAAAATAAAAATGTTGGAATAAATGTAGAAGGGAAAATTTTAAATTTATATTAAAGACAAAAATGTTTGATACTGTGAAACAAATTTAAATGAAAAAAAAATATATATATTAGAATATAACAAATAAAATAAGTAAATGCTCTGAATACACAAGTGTAGTATTAAAAGCAGTATTAAATGAATTTTAAAAACTTGCTTTTAACTTTAAATAGTTTATTGCTTGGAGTTCAAGTTTTTATCATAGATTTCTTTTTTACAAAGTCTTATCCTTGGTTTTTATATTTTACTCTTTGTTGTTTTATTTTAGTGTCCAAAAGCTTTTATTCATTAATTTCAATTATTGTCTCTATTTTTCATCTGTTCCTATCTGAATCACTTTGGGCTGCATGTTTTTATGACAGGTGCTTTAAGAATGAAGATGAGTCTAAGGAGTCTGTTCTCTGTTGTGTCCCTCTGTCTTAGGACGTGCTGCATCGCCACCCTCTCTACCTGATCGTGCGCATGCTGTGCTACGATGACGGCCTGGGTGCAGGGAAGAACCTCCTCGCTTTGAAAACCACCGACGCAGAGCAGGAGGAGTGCAGCATCTGGGTGTACCAGTGCAGCAGCTCAGTGAGTGTGAACGATTCAGGAACTAAAAACAGTTTAAGGCTGTATCTGCCTTCTCATTTAACGCTCTTTATTTTGTGATCATCTTCTTGAACAGGAGCACGCTCAGTCCATCTGCAAGGTGCTGTCGGCTTCTTTTGACTGTGTTCTGACATCAGAAAAGTCCTGAGGCCAGCGGCGTGGACCCGAGCTGAGTTTCTTTTAAAAGAGGGACAAAAACAACCGCCAGGCAACAACATTTCACCCCTCAACAGTGATAACAAAATGTGCGATCATTTCCTTTTTTCCTAGCTTTGTTTTCCGTTTGGAGAGATTAGCTGCAGGAGAAGTCATGAATGTTTTCCACATTACTTAACAGGAAAAAAAAATCATGATTTGAACCGTAACAATATCAATGTCCCTTGGTCATCGTTCTCCAGAAACACTGTGAATCTGTCTGAATCATTTCCACGGACTGACTTTGGTTTGTTTTTTTCACTTCTCACTTAAGTCAAGAGCAAAAAAAAAAGAAGTGTTGGAAAAAAGGGAAATTGTTACATTAAGGAGATACGCATTGATATACATTACATCTACTTTAATTGCTTTTAATGTAAATGATGGTACTGAATATCACCCATGTCCACACAGCTGAGTCAGCATTGACATTCATCAGCAGAAATCAACAAGGTACAGACACGGTCATGGAAAGCTCCAGAGATTTTAGTTTTTACATCCTTGTGTGTTTTGTTGTGTTTCAGGTCAAACAGTATTGGTACAGTAACAGTCACTTTAAACTTGTATTCAAAGGTACATGCTCATTCTTTGGCCCTCATTCTGTATTTTATCACCTGATTGAGCAGTCTTACTTTGACTTCATTTGTGGCATTTACTCACTTTTAATAACTGTTTTTTTTCCTTTTATTGTATTTTTTTTAATGTCGTTATACTGAAAGTTTCTTGGTACCAAACCCTTGAAGTGTTTTCTCATAGGTTTCGTGTTGTAGTGTGTTATAAATGCACTAATTCCATAAGATTCGCTGAGAGTGAAACAAGGTGAATCACAATATGCTGTCAAGAGATTTATGAAGAAAATACTGTTTACAGTCTCGGTACTGACTTGAGTTCATCATGTATATATGATGTGATGTGAAAATGTGTGACAACAGGGAAAAGAAAGAGTGTGATCTGGTACGTTGAAGGAGTGAAAAGCTTTTTGGTTTTACATAATTTTACTGATTAAAGTGTCAACTTCCCCTTTTTCTTTCAGTGTCTTACTTACATTTGAGTGTTACATTTATTTCTGTTTTTATAATGTGGCTAGTACAGAGCCCAGTGGGTTCAGACTTTCATTTCTCCCCACCAGAGGGAGCTCCTGTGTCATCAGACTTTTGCTTTTAAAAGACCCATACCCATCTTTCATTTTTTATCGCCACTTTACATAGCAATGTAGGCATGAATGGATGGGCGACAATTCTCTTAATGCTCGTAAGAAACAGACCAAACCTTGTATTATCTCATATTTTATTGTTCCAGTTTCATTTCCCCCATTTGCTTTCACAATAGAGTTAAAGAGTCAATGCAGAGATCCACAGACACATAATGAGAATGAATTACTTATTTTCCCAGTTATGCGTGCGAGTGTGTCTGTGTTCTCAGCACACACACACACACACACGAAGGTCCAGCCGAGGTCATCTCTACAGATGCCTGTCACCGCAGCATATTAAACATGTAATGAACAGGTTAACGCTGCTTCTTAGCTCCTTTTTTGAACATTTAAATATCAACAAAACAAAACCAGATATTTACACAAATAGATTTTTTTTTAATCTTCCTGTTTCCAGTGAGTTCGTATGAAACAGTGAAGAGCGCAGATGAGCTACAAACACTCGCTTCTCTTCCTGTCATTCACTAATCAATGGAAGGCTCTTGGTTTCAGGTTAAATGCCTCAATATCAACATTATGAACAGAAAGAGTTGCTCTGCAACCAAAACAAAGTTAATCACATTTATATTTCTTCCAAAACACTTCTGACACTCTTTTTTTCAGACAGTATAGGACCCCAGATAGAGGAGGTTTAAGTTAATGAAGGATGTTCTGTGTAGTCGCAGAGTGTCAAAGATGAAGACTAAACTCAGATCATTTGTGAGGAAAAAAAACAACTGGCCTGTCACAGCCTGTTCATGAGGAAGTTTAAAAAAAACATTCTCACTGTACAATTCTTTTTCATCTCCTCTCGCTTCATTATTTTTTTATTCTCAGCTTATTCTGTGCAGACGCCACATGCGCACACACACAAACACACCTATTCCTCTAATAAGGCGGATGACAGGCGCAGGCAGCCTGAGGTGACACACTCGGCATGAAGGTAATTACTCGCTCCAGTCGGCTTCATCATTTTCTCTTCAACAGCAGAGGAGGAAGCACTGAAGTGTTGACATTCTGTATAACCCTGTACATTATTTTTTGTTCACGTTCCTCCCCTTCTCAATAGCAGTCTGTATTCTGTACAGGGAGATCAAAGTGCTCCCTATTTACAGCTTTTAGCATATATCAGGGTTAACTTAGCACCATTAGGGAAAGCCTCCACACAGGACGCCTATTTTAGGGTTGAACAGTGGAACCTAAAAGCAGGTAGGCATTTAAGATCGCTCATGCACAGAGGTGGATGTAAGCATGTTGACTATGTTCACATTTACAGTTATTAAGTTAAATACATAGCTGAGCAGGAAAATACTAAAACCTTCATTCTGTTGTAACGAGGATTAAGACAAAGAAAGTGCATTAATTGCGAGAGGTCTTCTACAATCATGTTTTTTTTTTTAATCTTACAGTCTTTGTCAGAAACACTAAAACAAGCATTAAACCACATACAGTCCCTGTAACGATTGACCCCCCCGCGGACTTCTCAAAAAAAAAAAAGGCTGCTTTGGTTGCCTCCATGACACCCCATAATAGACACAGCAGAGTCTCTGGAACAAGCATTGCTGAAGATGCCAGTGAGGGTGATGATGGATTAAGCACTGGGACGATGGTGGATGTGTTGCTGGCAGGCCGCAGACAGAGAGGAGAGGGGGGGGGGGGGATTTTTCCAAACCATTCAGTCAGCGATGAAGTGAACAAAAGTGACGGGGAACGCTCCTCGCCTCATAGGATCGCCTTCGATGTGGCCCAGCTGTGAGAGAGGGAACACAGAGGTCGGGTCATGTTTTTTTTTTTTGTTTTTTTTAAACTGGAAAACTGACTGCTACAGCACAAACACAAAACTTAAACACCACAGGAAACTAAAACTTTGCTCAGAAAAACCCCCCCCAGATTTTCTGATTAATCACGACTGAAAGATTCAATATGGATTCTTAAAAACCTCAGATTGATTTGCTGTGAATTTGTTCACATTTTCTCTTAATGATAATGAGGTTGAATGTTGTTCAAAGATGTCTAACTAGTGGAAACAAACTAATAACATACAGAAACTGGTTCAACATAGTCCAAAAGTTATGGAAACGACAACTACCTAATTTATTGAATTTGTAACCAAAATGTAAAAAGGATATTTCCAATCAGAAAACTGCTTTATATTTTATTCACCTTCTAACAGACTCTACTTATTGAGCGCGGATGGTGGGATATTGTGGACTCTAATGAGCCGTTCTGCTAAACACAGCCTAATGGAGCACATGGAGAGGACTATGAGGAGCTAAATCACAGTAAATATCTGGGTAATAACTAAGATTTTATTCCACATTATTGTATTACCTGAGCTGATTAAGAAGATAGAATTTTACAAGTCCATTTCAGTCTAAAGGGTACCTACACCTGAAAATAAAAAAGCTAAGACATGTTTGGTTCAACGCCGTTTAAGAGAGGCACAGAAGGAATAAACGTTGTTGATACAATCTAAAGTGGAACCAGTGAAGAGATACACACTGCTACAACAGCAAACAAAATATAGTTCTGTAGTATTTTTATATTCAGGGGTTAAACATGAAAAATGGTAGCTGGACACATAAAAGGCCAGCGTAAACATCTATTTCACTTTCAGCTACATCCCCTCTTAACTTTGCCTCTTCACTGTGTTTTTTTATTTGGATTATTTCAGACACAAACAGTGATTAGATTCTGACTATAGGACACAGAGGAAGGATGACGGGGACCTCGGGGGACTTCAGGGTCCACACATGGTCCACACAGGGTCACAGAAACAGGGACTGACTAAATACGGTCATATCGGCAGAGGTGGCCTCGCAGGAAAACAAGCTGCAGCTGGTCGAGGTTCACACAAGGGCCTCCACAGAGGAGGAAGCAGCAGCAGGCGGAAAAAAAGAGGAGGAGGGGGAATATCGGCCGGAGTGAGATCATGGCTTTCTGCTTTGGCCACCATGGTTACCTAGTGCACTGACATCCACTCGGGGGAAAATGGGACCCAAGGGGGACTGAGTGGTCTTTGTGCTTACGGAGGAGAATTCATGCGAGTATCTTACATGACTGAAACACTGAAAAAAGAAAAAAAACACACTTCAAAATTCAAACAGATACTGACCCACCACTCCTGGTCCTCCTCTCCGTCCACCACAATCACCTCGCCCTCAGAGAAGGTCAGCTCGTCCGGGTTGTCCGCGGCACAGTTGTAAATGGCTTTAACTCGCTTCGGCCTCTGCTTCTGAGAGACATAACACAAACAGGTTTGAAGAAAATCAAGTGTGTGACTGATAACATACTTTGAAAAACACTGACTGGTGATAACGTGTGATGGTAGAGCAGCAGGCTCATACAATGTCAAAGAATAGAAACAAAGAAAAAGATGCCCTCTTCCTACAACTCTTCACTGACAGAGTAACAACTAATACACAATTTCTGGTTTGAAGGATGCAGATTAATCACTTTATTCCAACTTAAAACCCCAAGTAGAGAGCTAACAGTGCTGCTACAGAAAGTGGGGTAAAAGGTTCTTTGCCTGTGAGAGGACAGGATTGAAATTTAGAGCATGAGTAGATCCTGGAAAAACAGCGCCTACAGATCGAGCTACAGCGTGAAGAACTGAATTTGCTCACTACAAACAGAATAAACCGCCACCTGAGAAATCAGCAGCATGTGACCATGCAACAAAATGAATGAATTAGCACTTTACAATCACCACTATGTCAATAATAATTTGAGGAAGAGGGGGGGGGGGGACTTACTGGGTAGGCCTTCCTCGGCATGGGGGCCGGAGCCAGAGACTGACCTATGGAGTTCTGGGGGCATCCTGGCACTTCCTTGGCTGAAACAGGAAGGGGAAATTATATCACAACGACAACACAACTTTCCAGACGTGGCAGGCCCGGAAGATAGTGAAAGAATTTCCAGATTACGTCTCTGTACACTGGACACACACAGATTAGGAGAACTGACATTTCGCGTCCTATCCGTTTACTCACTTGGTCTCTCGATTGATTGCGTTCGAGTGAGAGGTCCTCTGCTGAAGCTTTTATCATTGCTGAAAAAGCAAACACCACAAAGATTGTAAAAAAAAAAAAATCCCTCTCATACAAAGACAAAAATCTAACAGAGAACTGTGCAAACTCTCAGCGGCTCTGTTACAGATTTATTACAGCACCAGCAGCCCGTTGGGAGATAAAACAGACTACAGGGCGTCTGTGGAGAAGAGATTCCCTCGTCTGGCTCGATGCAGAGCTTTAGCCTAGAAGCTAATGAAATGGCTAAGCAATGACCATGTAGACTAATTTATCAGCATTCAAGAGCAGCAGGATACAAAGCCCCGGGGGAGTGAGCGAGGTCTCTCTCTCTGTGTATGTGTGTGTGTGTGTGTGTGTGTGTGTAGTGAATCATATGAATCTATTGTTTTCCTGTGTGGCTAATGAGGCTGCAAACCCACCACAAAAAAAAAATGACTGCAGACTACAATACTTGGCTTTATACTTTGTTTTCACTGAACTTGTTGTTTCATTGATTGCTGCAGTTCTTACCCTGAGGGAGATTTAGGCGGCACCACTCTGGAGCCCATCGGCCCCTGGCTGGACTTTGACTGGATACTCAAAGACTCCATCTTCGCCACAGGAGCAGGACCCAGACCTGGGACACACAGTAACACACCTGGATCACAAATTGAACACACCACTGCACTGCTAAACAATAACTGATGTAACAACCATAAGCAGATACATCTATAAAACAAAAGAAGGGCACTAGTTTTAAATTGTGAAAACCTCTATGATGATGGCACGTTCATATGGGCCTTTAAAACAAACTCCTGTGTCCTTTTGGACAACAAGAAGAACCAAGAGAGAGGCTAGCAGTACTTAAAAGGGAAGAACATGTGAGGAGGAAGAGAAAGGAGAAGGAATGAGTCAGGACAGGAATTTATAGGGATCCATTTAAGTTTGTCATGAGATTGTTTAGCCAGGAAAAGGGAGGCCAACTCAAGGCTTGAAAGCAAGAGGTAGAGAAACATTTAAAAAAAAGATACACTCAGATCCAGGGGAACAGAGAAATAGGCCTTCCTCCTGATATAACACAGTTAGGACAGTTTAGAGTTGATGATGGATATTTGGACACCAGGGTTGAAGAAAGCCAAGGCTGTAGTAACAGGAGCAAAGGCTTCTTCAGCACCAGGGCGTCCCAAACCGGCTTCATGAAAGTGCACTTGATGTATTTAGATTATTTTGGAGGTTACCAAGTATAGTATTGGATAAGCAAGTTTCACCAAAAGCTTGGTGTGAAGCAAGGGGAATACCAATTCCCAAGGAGAAAGAGTCCTCAGGTTTAATCCAGTTTTGGACTATATATCCTGAACGTACAAGGTTACACATCTACTGAGCTACCAAACTATTAGAAAGTAATAATTTAGTAGATACCACAATGCAGAAAGCAGGAATCCCTGGTTTTGGAATGTATCTATTATGATATAGTCCCAGATTCAGACGGCAAAGAAAACTTGGTATCTTTAGATTTAGTGAGTGCATTTGGTTCAGTACCACACGGCCTGATATGGACTTCCTTTGACTTCGTTTGAGCGCCAATGGTGATTGTACACATGGTGAAAGCATACTGCCAAGATATTAGAATGTGTATACGTACTGCAGCTTTCACAACAGATTGGCAGAGATTAGAAAGAGGCAGATAAATATCTTAAACAAATACATATAATTTTGAAAAAAGAATATCGTCAATCGATTTTCAGATTTGGATTGTACCCAAAAAGAAACTCCACTGGATTTAATGTTTACCAAACTATGTGAAAACATTCACATCTAATTCAATTAAAAAATTACGAACAAATACAATAAAATATAAAAGAACTAATCTTCAAGGACATTAACAGTTTTATATGTAAAGCTCAATATTGTTCTGTTACGCTGTCACTGTAGCTGTTGACTAGCTCAAGACAAAGGAATGGGTCTATTAGGGTCCATACCTCCTGTTGAAGTGAGTCTCAGGGGGGGGACAGGAGGGTGCATGTTGGGGGGGTCTGAGGACGATCTCTGCCTGCCGCCCAGGTCTAAAGCACCGGGCTTCCAGCTGCTGGGTGCTGACGACTGAATGATCCCACCCAGACCGGATAACTGGGCTGAGGAAGAGGACGGAGAAAGAGAGACAGGTTGTGAGAAGAACGATGAAAAGACGGTAGAAGTGAGCTGCACTGTGCTTCAGTCACTTTCAATTAGAGCTGTTTTCTGTCGAGTGTTACTGAAAGTGACAGTTAATTGGGAGAATGTAGGAATTTGTAGAATGTCAGGGTTGGGGGCTGCGGTGAGACAAAGTGGACGAAACAGCTGGTCGCCCCACCCCCACCTGCTGGCAGCACTCCAGACAAACACTTAAGTTATTGAAGAGCGACTGTTGGAGACATGTCACGTGTCAGTGGGCCTGATGAAGAATCTTAGCAGCACATGAACAGAGATTCACATGTGGAGCTTATACAATAGATTAAGTAATATTAAGCTATTTTTGCTTGGTAGTATCTAAAATATTTCCAGCATTTAAGACAATCAGATCAAATTGCAATGACATAGTAATGAGATCAAACAACTTTGTAGAAAAGCTGCTCTTCCAGCTGTCTTCAATGTGACTTCTCTGCTCTGGTACTCAGAGACATCGGATGTTGAAACAGGTCAAGAGGTCACAAAGACCTGTAGTAATTAACACAAAGCCCTCGGAAACCACTGGAACAGGGCTAAATCCTCAGGCATATCTTATAAATATCACTTCCCAATGGTACGCAGAGAGGTCAGAGACGTTTAGAGAGGTTATCAGGTTAAGCAGGATTATGATGAACATGTTTCTCATCTTTTCATCCAAAGAAGCTTTACTATTTTATAAGAATAAGCTTTAGATTTACTCTATTTTCTTCTAGAAAATCAACTATCCACTTTTGTCTCCATTTTCAAATTCAAGTGTTTACCCAGGTTCCTTGGGGGCAGGGGTGGAGCAGAGGTAGTGGCGGGCTGAGGCGAGGTGGAGTTGAGGATGGTGCCGTAGGTCTCGTTGTTGACCAGGTTAGGTATATATGTGCGCTGCTTGTCCTTGGTGAGTCCGACAGAGTCCCGGCCTGCAGAGCTCAGACCGGCCTGGAGGTGGGAGTTGGTGCTTGGAGTGTAGCAGCTGACAGGACGCTCATCTCTGCGGTGAGGGCTGGGCTGCAGGGGTAGCAAGAGGTCAGGTCAGGGGGGGGGGATAATGATAGGGTACAGTGTGTTTGTAAGTAAACTTCATGTCAAATTTACTGTTCAGACAGTTTACTAGATTTCATCTCTTCACTGTATGTTTAGTATGTAACTTCATTTCACATCTTTTTTTTTATTATTTTGAATCTAGAGATACATTGTCTGTAGAAGAAAGACATAAACACTGTCTTCACTTGTTTAAAAAGGGCCATATATAAATATTTTGCAATCCCCGAGACACCAAACTTTTTATAAATAAAAGTCCAAAGCAGATTTGTCTAGATGTCATCTAAATGTAGACGCTACCTAAAGACATGTATTTTTTTTTACACATGTTCAGTCATTTCAGAGAGAAATTATCCCAAAGAAATGAAGCAGCAGGACTACTTTCAATGCCAAGCAGACAGATTTAACAGTTCTAAAGGAATATTACATTCAGATTTGGTTAAAGGAGGAAACATCTCTCTCTATTAGAACCAAAACAAAGCTTGCTTCAATTGGTTTCATCATCCTCTAAGAGACTCTGATTTTCTTTCTGCTTCTTTAAAATGTTTCCTTGTTGTTTGTTTAATTATTCCTTTTTTGCCGAGCTGTATGGTTCTGTTAAAACTGAACCTGTGCAGACAGAAGCCTCTTTCACCTTCTCATCCAGATCTTCATCACTTTCATCCAAGTCTTCGTGCTGCAGGCACCACTCATATTCAACGTGGACGTGAGCGTTGAATTTCCCTGCCAGTGCTTGGTTCAACTGCAGACACAAACAAATACAAATACTCAAAACAAACATAAACGACTGACGGCCATTACAATCAGGACGGTATACGTTTAGAGGCAGAAGGCAAAAAGACTAAACATAGTGTCCTCACCAGCTCCTCACACTGCAGGTGTTTAAGCCTCCGAGCGATATCCAGCGGTGTCTCCCCGGCCTCATTAGCTGGAGGAGAAGACAACACAAACATATAATCACCGTTGGATCCACATGAGTACAAACACACAGCCCATTTTCTTTCCTCCCACTCCAGTGTGACATGAGAAATGTGTAATTAGAGCTTTTCCCACAGTGAACAACTCTCTAGTTTCCCTCTGTCCTCCTCCTAACTGGATCTATTATCTGCCTGTTGTGTTGTCAGAGCGGAGCGGAAAGATTTGTGTTGTGAGAGAGAGTTGCCATGGTCTGCTGGCACAGCATTCACCTCTGGGAACCAAATCTGAAAGGCTTGATCCAAAGAGTGTGCTTGTGTGTGTGTGTGTGTGTGTGTGTGTGTGTGTGTGTGAGAGGGAGGATGAGCCAGACATTTTTTTTTTGTGGGAGATGGTGGAAGAGGTATGCAGAGCATTTACACAGTGTAATCAAAACTACAACAAACCTCTTACTAGATACTCTAGATTACTGATACTCAAACAGTATGAAGATGTGAGTTCTTAGTATATCGAGTGGCCCCAACCATAGTGTTTTATTATCGATTATTATCAATGATGCACGAACATTAAAGCAGTCTCATAAAAGTTGTCGATGTGATTTTGAAAGTGTGTATTGTATTGCCTTTTGAAGTTTTTAATCTGCAAATCCACAAACCTAATAAAAACATTTGTCATCACTGACACATTTTTTTTTATAACGGCTCTGATTTGGATTTTATGAACAATATGTGTTATTCACAGTTAGGCACGTATCTGACATGATTGACAGGTGGACGCCATTTAACGGTTTGTCAAGAGGCTTAAAACCGGCCTCAGCTGCAGCTCTCAGCCTGTTGTTAGGTTGACTGAAAGTTAGGGTGAGACAGGATTTCCAGCATGGCGGCTGCTGCCGATGAGCCTCCAGAGCCCTCTGGCCTGCTGTAACAGATGACTGACATCACTCAGGCTTCGTTCATTAATATTTACAGTCTATGATTAAAAGTGGTTGCACAAGAACCTGTTCACTCTTAGTAAGAAAAATATAACTAACGCTTAAAAAATACTTACTTACTAATCCCTGATTTAAATGATTTGATAATTTATTTTTGTATTTCTGAAGATATAATGTGATTAGACTCTGGAATGAGAATAAAGAGAAAAAAAGAAAGGAGATGGACATTGAATGCACCATTCTTGCGGCTACTGTATTTTCTTACCGATCTCTATGGAGGCCTTCCCCCTCAGCAGCAGTTTCAGACACTCACTGTTGTCTGTCAGGCAGCAGTAGTGCAGTGCTGTGCTGCCTTTGACCGTCTGCTTATCCAGATTCAAGCTGCCAGGAAACACAGAGGGAGTTAACTTTTAATCCCAACAATGGAGGAGAAAAATGAAGCATTTGTTTCTCCTGTCTCGCACCAACTCCCCTCTGAAGATCTCCCAACCAGCGACAAAAAGAGATTCTATCTACAGTATTGATAGTTAAGCACTATTTTTATTAAGCATTTGAAAGCTAAAGGAGATAAATATACAATTAAAATATATATGAAGAAAAGGTTGTAAAAGTAGGAAGGAGAAGTACGTGATCCGTGTAAACAATCAAGATGGTGTTGTTAAATATCTTGAATTTGGTCTGGTGTAGTCTTGGTGCTGTATGATCTAACAAGTGATGTGTTTTATAGGTGGGAATTGAATATTTGCTGCTCCGTCATATTGCATTGGGTAAGAGATGAGTAACTGAAAGGATAAATCCTTTGTGCTCCTCCGTGTTTCTTTTTACCTGTTCTGAGTGAGGAAGTCGACGATGTGAAGAGACGTTCGATCCACCAGTCTGACAGCGAGATGAAGAGCCGTCTCTCCTTGTTCCTGTGAGAAAATCAGGAATCATTTGCGGTACATCTGAGGGAGTACGAGGCGTTTTTCTAGAATAATAGAAAGAATAGTAGAAAGTTTCAAAGTTCTTTGTGTACTGACATGTCCGTTAGCCAGAGGTATGGGCTCCATGAGGTCGACTCCCTCAGCGTAGACCTGGACGAGCGAGAAGATGTCTCGGGCTTTCACGGCATCGCACAACGTGTGTAGCCGCGACGTCGCGTCAGGACACTTCTTCCTGGCGAATCGTTTCTCGGTGTATTTGGCCGTGATGAAGTCTTTCCTTGCCTGCCTGGTGGAAGATGTGAAGAGGAAGATGCTCAGTCATTGCTGGACAGTCTTTTTTGAAAACAACAGCTTTATATATGCTGCCACTGTCAAGAATCTCTGCCTGTACATGCAATCTGTTGTTTGAGAGTAAAACTCTCCAGCACAAAGAAGAACAGGCAAATAGAAACTTCTGCAGGAAACTAAAACAAAACAAAACTTTGATACCCTTTAAAGCTCTTTATTATTCTATACTTATAAAAAAAATTATATACTATGTAAATCCTGAGCCTTTCGTATGAATTTGAGCATGTTTGTATTTGTAGGCATCATATATGAAATAAATATGTGAAAATATCTTCACAGATTTTCTGATTGAACTCTGAACACACATTGAAATGCCTTTTCTACTTAGATCACGTGGCATCTTTTAAAAAAACATTATCGATTCATGATGATTATATCATTCCTGATAAGTTGATCCGAGTAAGGATTTGCTAATGTTACAATGAGAAGAGAGAGAGAGAGAGAGAGAGAGAGGGAGAGAGAGTGAGTCAAAGGAAAGAGGATAGATAAGTTGAAGGGCTGCCTTACATGTCACTGGCTGGGTTGGGTTTCACCACGTCTTCAGCGTTTAAACAAGCCTCCATGATTTCATTAAAGCCTGCATTCCCCACATTCTTGGCCAGCTGTGAAGCACATACACATCAACACATGAAGAGCACACTTTTAAATTAAAAACTGGTAAGAACCATTTGCTAAAACCACATGCATAAATTTAAGAGTCATCATTTGACACCTCGTCACCTAGGATGCGGCACAGACCCTAAACTGTGTGTGTGTGTGTGTGTGTGTGTGTGTGTCAGTGTGTGTGTCAGTGTGTGTATGTATGTGAAGCCTTATAAACTGCTCAAGGCCTGTCTGACTGTGGCCAACACAAGTGGCGTCTCAACACAGAGATTGGATGCATTTTATCACAATCGACCCACAGGCAGTAAATCTCTACACCAAACAGTGATTAGAAAAGCCAAAATAATCTAGGCTATTCAGAGGCCTTGGATGAACAGGAGAGCGAGGCCTTGGATGATGCTCTATCACCTCCTACCCCTCCTCTACTCAAAAGGTTATCCTGCCAAACTCTATCCTGTCTGATGTTGAGTTGGAAATCAATACAACGGGAGGTTTTCAAGCAACAAGACGACTGAGGAGGAAGGAGGTTTACCAAGAGCTCTGAGGTGCTGAGCACGTCAAGCGTGAGGGACTGGATCCTGGAGTAGTGGACTCCCAGCTCCCTGTGGATCCCTGAACATTCGATACAGGTGAGGATGCCGAGGTTGGTCGACAGCCATGTCGGGTCTGACAAATAGGAAAAGAGAAAGTCAAGAGGATGCAGAGAACAGGAGGGAAAAGATGAGGAGGAAAATGGGGAATAATGCATGCTGGTGACATGATATCCGCGGGCAAAAAGCACGAAGGCAAAAGTCATTTCTGCAACACAGGAGCTAACTTTAAGGTGTTCTTGTATGTGTGGTGTGTGGAAATTTAATAGAAGCCTGGAGGACTTTCTAAAACCCACTTACATGCAGTATCAGAGCTGAACTGTAACCAAGTCTGACCTAGATACTCAGTGTACATACTGTAAGTGTATGTTATGTACAGTATGACAGATTATCCACATGTCTGCAGGGTAGAACTCATGGGATTGAAGTAAAAATATGGGGGATTGTACGTAGGGGGGAGAAAAAGGATTTGAGAGTCTTGTCAGAACTTTTAGATACAGATACTTTTTTTTCTTCTATATTCTGAGATGAGAACATACCAAAACCATACCAGTGGTTCTGCATGCTTCAGCTCATAAGTATTCATTGACATCACCGCCAACACTCTTCAAAAGCATTCCACACATTTTTAGACTGATTTCATACCTCGAGGCAGAAAATACATTCAGTTAATTTACTCCAGAAATCCTGAAACATGCTTCTAATTGTAGCGTACAATGTTGCAGGGATTATCTTTTGACACAGTCAGGAAGCACAGATGTGGGTTAATGGATTTCCCCCGCAACTTCAAAGTCAATACCTTCCGAGGAAGCTATCACACTTTTTTCTCTGGAATTCCTGGGCGTTGTCATAATAAATTATATATATGACTTCAACGTCAAAGAGGTGCGTAATCAGGGTTAGATTCTGACTGGTCTCGATCTTGCCTTGTGTTTGGAGATTTTAATTTGTAATAAATGGGCACAGCACCTTCTTTAATTTTGGGAATGCACATATTGTAGCAGATGCTGTGTGATGGATACAAGTGTTTGATTAACTCAAAAGGACAGATTCTGGGCGCAGGTAGCCTAGTGGTTATGTCGCGTGCCCAATGCGTGGAGGCAGTGGGTTTGAATCTAACCTCGGCACTTGGCTGCATGTCATCCCCCTCCACTCTCTCCTCCCAACAATCCCTCTCTCTCTTCAACTGTCCTATTCAATAAAGGCAAAAAGGTGCTAAAGTATTTTTCAAAAGGACAGATTATTTTACAAAGAGAACCTGCACTTACATTTCTGAAAAACCTGACATAACATACAGTGACAGTGGAAAAACTCTGAAAGGACACACTGTTCATACATGCAAGGAATCACAGAGTAATGCAGAACAAAATAAATACAAGAAATCTAGGAAATCCAGGGATCTCTATTCTTAACATGGTATGTATGATGTAAACATAACATCATTTTGTGTTCTATTTTTGAAGAACATTTTTACTTACTTCTGAAAAAAAACAAAAACATTCGGTCTGTACTAAAAATCTAAAAGTAAACATAGTTGTTATGAGAAAACAATGTGGATATGGTAATTTATTTTCGTTAAAAACGTACTTGTCACAAACTGTGAAATGTGTGATAAATAGGGCTCTTTTCCTTTTCTCTACAGTCCTCTTGTAATGGTTATAATCATCTTAATTGAAGCTGACCATACAATATAAACCATCATGAAATGGCAAATTAGAAACTACGCCAAGAAGTGAGGGATTTCTTTTGTGTGAAAAGGTCATCAACTTAGAAAACATCACCACCAGCGATACAGTCAGCAAAGCTGCCACATTAAAGTAAAGATCCCGACATGTGATCTCATTCTGTGCGGGGAATAACATATGACGCGTCCATCTTTGCCACTCACTGGACGCTCCGCAGTCGCAGCACACGTCGTTTCCTGTCATTCTCTTCACTTCTCCCAGGATCGCCTTGGTCAGCTCCTGCACGATGTTATTCTCGCCGACATGATGGTCCCCTTTAAACGCCTGATTCAACGCCTCTTCTTTACTGTTCTGCAGCACAGAGATCCAGCTGGAGCAGAGCACAAGGGTTTGAAAATGAAATATAATGACAGAGGGGGGTAAAGACAGGGCCGCACGTGTGACTGGGTGTGAGGCAGGAAGTGTGTAGAAAGTAGGGAACAGGAAGTGTTCCTGCATGAGACTGGACACTCATGCATGGAAAGGAAAGGAACAGGAACTTACATCTGACAGTCCTGGTCGTCCTCGGCCTGAAAGTGATATGTTCTGTCGTCTGAAACAAAAAAAATGAATGAATGAATGACACAACAGAGAAGAGGGAAGAGACCAGAGCATATATATATATATAAAAACAGTAAATGCTCTGAAAGTTTCCCGACAGAAGACATTAAAGTAGTCTACACATTAGTCTGAGGCTGCACCCCTGCAAAAAAACATCAAAAACAAAAAGCTCTTCTTCTTGTCTGTAGATGTGACTCACTCACTTCAAACCAGAAAGACCGAAGACTATTTTAACTCACTCTATACAAAGCAATTTAAACGCTGCTGTTTTTTCAGTGGCAGAAGCTCCAGCACTCCAGAAGAAAAGGCCCAGATCTAAAAAGGCTCAAATGCCTCTTACAAAATACTCCAAACACATGTTTTTAGCTTCGTCTTACAGTCGAGCAAGAAAACCCAAAAAGGCTAATGTATAATTTATTGATAGGTTCTTTAAAAGTGCTGGCACCTAATTTCTTGGACTGAAAAAGCAATGACACACATAATATGTCAATCAATCAATCATGTCTTTTTTCATTGTGATTGACTTTCTTAGGATTGAGACTAAAAGCTAGATTGAAGTATGCTTTATGTGTGGATGTATTCTTCAAATCATTAAAGAGAAGAGAAAGTCATTTGAAATCCACTTTGCTGATGAATAAATCTCGTCCTGCTGCGTAGTGGGTGACTGGAGATAATTAAAATGATGCATTCGAGTGCAACATATGCAGATTGGTGACATAAAAGGTTTCAGGAGAAGTTGGCTAGAAGGGAGTAACAACAAAAAGGAAAGCACTGGAGTACACTGAATAATAGAGGAGTTTAGTGGAAGACAAAGAGAGAGGGTTTAACTTACGGGATATGAGGTCAAAGCTTCTCTTCTCCTCGGGGTTGTGTTTCACCTGGCAGGTGAGCAGGTTGAGTTTAGCTGGAGGTCGGTTCGCCTGCAAGAGAGAGAGAGAGAGAGATGGAGAACAGAGAGAGAGAGAGAGAGAGAGAGAGAGAGAGAGAGAGAGAGAGAGAGAGAGAGTGAGGGGAATAATAAAAACAGAAACGAGGGGGAGTGTTGTGTTGTGTTTAACTGTATCTGACTGCTGCTGCTGGAGCCAAATTAAACTTCTGATAAGCTGCTACGAGTGAGATGAACTGTGTTAGTGAGAGGAGTTTAATCTTTATATGGGAATGACACAATTCAAGTTTAAAATCTATTATGTGAGGGATATGTCCACATGTGAACTCTGCCGTTTCTTCATATTTATGGTTATTAGACAGTCAGGACACTGTTCATATGTGTGCATCAAGTATTAATTAATTACTAAATAAGGTCTACGTGTGTTTTAATTTGTGTGTCTTTCAGTTTTCACAGAATTCAGAGCTAAAAAAGAAAAAAAAAAGAAAAAGCATGGCTGGTAACTGACTGTGCCGTGTGAGATGGTGAGGTATCCGTTCTTCGCTGTGCATTTTCTCTTCTGCCAGACTTTCCTCAACCTGAGCAGACAGAAGACAGTGTTACTATGTCACATACACAGCAGAAACACACACTGCTGATAAAATATGAATATGATCACACGTTATAATAGAGAACACACTGAGAAATGTATGTGCATATTACATCCTTAAAAACATGAATATTTTATAAAAGAGCTGAATCGAGATGTAAATCGATCTGCAAGTTGTCAAAAAAGTATTTAGTTTGAAACAAGTTAAATTGAATAAATTAAGTATTTCATCATTAAAAACACCAGTTATAATTTCTTCATATTCATTCTTTTTCTCATGTTACATCATGCTAGATTAAAAAAAAAAAACAGCAAAGTAGTGCGCTGAAAGATTTCTAAATATAGACACTTACATCCTTATTGTTTTTTTTTAAAGGTTGGTAAGTTCGTTTTATGATTAGCTAAATTAGATTCAAATGACACCGTCTGCATAGCCGTATAGCCTAGCCTTCTTGCTGGCACTCCCTCCAGTTTCTCACTGAAGGGGCCAAGCTGTACGGCATCCTTGTGGCTTATACACGTACCATTGACATGTACCCTCATACAACCCCACATCAAGAATCCAAACTATCCCTTTAAAGTCGTTCTCGAAAGCTCACCCGTCACTCTTCTTGTACAGGTAGCCGCTGCGCTCTGTGCCGTGCTCCTTGTTACCCTGTGGTTGGTGCAGGCTATAGGTGGTGCTCTGCCGCACCTGTGATTCCTAAGAAAAATACACACAAACAAAAATACATCACAAATCAGCACATTTACACAATTGAATTTGACGATCCCATGGGAGCTACTGAAACATTAACATGGCTCTGATTTACGCTCTACTTTGTGGTCTCTCTCACTGCTGAGAATGTAGAGATAATGATGGGAAGGCTGCTGCTGTGAGGCTGAATGATTTTGCACACGTGGGGATAAGGGATTGAGAGCTGTACACCTCTTGTGAAACACGAGGGGGAGAAATATTTTGTTTCCTTAGAAATACTGAAAGGTTTAAAAGACAATTGACACTGCAATTTCAAGCATGAATGCAGTTTTAACAACATATTTTTTGTATATTCAGGTTTGATTGTAAATTATTATTCCCTGAAAACAATCAAAAAGGGGATATTTGTAGAAATAATGTCACCTCTTTTATTGAAACAAAACATGAAAGTGGGAGAAAGACTTCTGAAGGCAGGCAATGGGAAGGCCTTTAATGGTAGTATAGGTGTGTGCTGTTATCAGCAGACACATGCAGCACACAGGATAATCTATCAGGAGCTGGAATGAAGCTCCATCTGCAGCTGATTAAAACAAGAATTTACAACTAAAATTCACCAAAGCTGTGGAAAATGGCAAAAAAATACACTATCGTCTGACATGAAAGCACAGAAAATAAACTATTTATCCATAACTACAACTGAAACAACACCAAAGTAAAAACTAAATGCAAAAACAACGGAATGTTTTTATTCAAGATGGCCACTTACTCTCCTAGACTTGTTTCACAAAAGACGGAGGCAGTGAGGGAAAGAGAAGACAATCTTCAGGTGATACCGGGAGCAACATGTCTTTTATTTCACTTAGATATGACAGCCACTCGTACCGGTGGGAATTTTTTATTTCATTTTGTGTTACCTCCTTCTGCTCCACCTGCAGCGATGTCTTGAGGACGTCTCTTAACTGCGTCAGCTGTTTCCTCTCCTCGTCCTGCACCTGCTTTATCTGTAGGAAAGAAAACATCAAGGAAACAGAAGAGAAAGAGAAGACGAGAAAGGCAACATAATGCATGTTTAATACAAATGTCTGGTTTAAACAGAGGAAAGAAGATATCAGAGCAGTGGGATTTCTTACCGTGTGCAGATCTGTGGCCAGTTTCTCGATGGAAGGTTTCAGGTTATCAACAGCTTTCAGACCGTCCTGAAAGAAACTGAACAGGAAGAAAAATAAGTCAAAAGCAACAAAACTGAGCCACAATATACTTTAGCTATGTAAAGAGTCTTTGTTGACATTGATTGACTTGTTACCCTTTCTAAAAGACACACAGCAGTTTCAGTGTGTACAAGGTTTAGTGAGTCTTACTTGCACTGTGCGTGGAAGTATTTGATGAGGTTCTGCAGCAGATCGACCCCTTCTTGATTTTGATCTCGTTGACCTTGAGGAGATACTGGGAACATATTGAATAAAGATTCAGTCAGACACAGTGAGGCTGGGTTCAGTCCCAGAGACAGGCAACCTGAGATCCATCTCATACATAAGGACCCTCTCATATCAAAAACCTGACCTCTTCTATTACAGTAAACCTCAAAGGGGTAGACACCTTGAAAAAACCAAACTCCCGCTCTTAGGGCCGTCTCACCTCACACATCTGCAGCTGGAAGAATCTCCTCTCCTTCTCCATCTCTTCAGCGATTTCAGCCCCGCTGATTTCGGTCCTGATCATCCCATGCTGCCTTGCATGCTCCTTCTTCTCCTTCTCTATCTTTGTGCTGCCAGGAAATTACATCACAAGGGTCAAACAGCAGACAGCACTATTATAACAGCAGCTCAACTAAAGTGCAGCTCAGTGTAAAATCAGCCCTTATGCTAACCTGCACACAAGTTTGTTATTGGGGACTTAGGGGGTTTATGGTGTTGATGTATTGTTAGTGTTTCTGGGATATTTTGTCTAGGTCATCCAGGTAGTAAAAAGTCTTTAAAACTTAAAATAAGTTCTGTTTTCCATCAGTCAATTATTGCAAATACCCCTGCAGGATTACTTAATTTCCTTATGATGGATGACAAGCATCATTCATGACTTTTCTTCCACTTACAACACAGCCATAGCAACCTCTTTATAAACCATCCCCATTAAAGGAATGATGTTTATAAAGGTGTCCTTACATCTCTGGTTTCTCCACACAATAACTAAAGAAGCCATTCAAACCGTATTTGCCTATTTTATAATACTGGATTTACAGATGTACCATGAACACGACATTTATGAAGGCGAAACATCTGGCTAATTGCACTGCACTGATTTTTTTTTCTCATTACACTGAAGTAGTTAAAAAGAAATAGTCAGTGTTGCTTGAATTTCCTAAATTTGAATTTCCAACAGAGGTTAAAATGCACAAAACAAATCTGTGATTTGGGAGGACTATGTCATTAGCATGAAGCTTGTTAGCAAAATCAAAAACGTGTTGTTGCCACTCATGATAGCAAGTGAATATCAGAAGAAATCAGACAGCAGAGTTAGTATGACGGTTCAAACAGTTTCTGTTTATTAGATGTCTAACTGATGCAAATTAGGTAATTGTTATGTGAATACATTATGTAAAGGTTTTAAGTTAGGTATGGGTGTAGGGTTTTGTGGGGTCAGGGATAATGGACCTAGGGTGGGGCGTTGTGACCAAATGGGTTAAGTAGTAAAAGGCTTTGATAACTAGTAATGGAGACACTCTGCCTGACAGTCAGTACTCAGAGCTGATTTTACACTAATACCACATCTCTGCATACAGTATCTCACTCAGGCAATCAGCAAAACACACCCAACACACAAACACACAGGGGAGGAGGAGGCACCAAACCATGCAACAGGGCATTCTTTTCCATATGCTGTTTTTTGGTTTCTAACAGCATATTTCCAAACAAAAAGGATGCAGCACTGTGTTTTCTCTTAGATATATCTACTCTCTCTAGCTGTGAGCACTTTCTTCATGTGCATAAAGACAGATTTTACCCCCTCGTGTTCCCTTATGAGATCTGTCTTACCTGCAGAGAGGCTAGGTTCAACCTATGACAAGAAATGCCTAAAAGCTTTTCCAAATCTCTAGATTAGAGAATCAATATCAAAGTGTTGTGAAAACCATTCTCAGAGGAATAGTTTGATATTGTGGGAAATATGCAAACTGTCAGTGTTAGATTAAATCTACATCTTGATTTGAAAAACAAATAGTACATGAGGAATACACGAGCATGTGAATCTTCAGTAATGCTGGTAGGGAATTTACGGTAGAAGACACTCCTGAATGTGAGCACTGTGACTTTTTATCATGGGTTGTTGGAGTACTTTTTTGAGGCCTTAAGTGTAGCATTTCAGCAGTCTCCATGTTGGACAACAGTATTATGCCTCTATCCTTATTGTAAGATCACCATAGTTGTGCCTTTGTCGATAACAAGGTAGCAAAAACATAGGATTACCCTTTTTTTATGTATTTTTCTCTGAATTTGATGTTATTTGGATGAAAAAAACATCATACTCTATGAGACGACTCTAAGCTATTGATTGAATTCTCACAATAAGCCTTAAAGTGTGGTGTCAATAACCTTGTCTAACTTTCAGAAAAAAGAAACATGTATTCCACATCATTCCTTTTAAAAGCCCTCTAAAGAACTACTGTATGTTGTTCTGTTTATATAATGACGCAGGGTGATGCTCAACTTTTAAAAGAAAGCAACAAAAGTGTTGTTCCACAATAAATAGTAGTCATGAACATATTTATGTTACAAATAATGCTAAGTTTGAGTTGATTTTTGTTTGTTTGTTTGTGTGATCTATTTGCTCTGGTGTTTCTTTCACTATAAAAGTTATGGCTTTTTGTTTTGGTTGTAAACCTGAATAAACCAGATTTGATGTCATGCAGAGTTCACTGTTGGCCTTTGTCAGCAGATGAATCATCAGCCCTGATAGCATTACAGCATCATCAGAGCTGACATCTTTAAACCAGGCTGTTCAGCAGCCAGACAAACTGAAAGCTGTTCCACTGATGACCGAGCGGTGAATTCATTCACTTTCAACCCTGTCAGTTCAAAAAGTGATTCACAGATCTGCACATTAACACAAAGTAATGAAGTTTCAGTGGATTGTTTTAGCAGCCAAATGTATCTGTCTGATTTAATTACATGTAAGATTATACACTTCCTGAATTAACAGGTTTGAAAGTGAAGCCTAGAGACTGAAAACATGGGTCAAATTCAGGCTTTGGATGCAAAGAGCTTGCAAACACAATTAGGAAATCAGAAATCAGTATTGAAAAGATTCAAGTTGTCTTTCTGCGTCTGTAAATATGAAAACAAGCTTATTACTTATTGACAGCAGAGAGACCAGAGATGACCAGAGGAGAGCAATACATGTTGGTGGGTTTGGGTGGTTTTCCAATCAGGCACAAAAACAGGCCTCTATTGATGGTCTCTTGTTTGCACATCAATAGAGTCAATCATAAAAAAAAGAAGTTTGGACGATCAGAAGAAGTAGCATAGCATCCGGCTGAACTCTTTATGTAAATACAAAGTCCAAACTGTCAGATCGAAATGGTTTGGAGAGGAGAAGTTTTACCCTTTCAGTAAAGAATGTCCTTTGCAGCTTGGAAAATACATGAAAGTGATGTGAAAAGGTGTGTGTTCTTTGCATGCACAGTCACAATGTGTCAGGGTGGAGGTGAGATGAGCTGTCTTTATTCAAATTATCGAAGATGCGTTGACAGGAAATCACAAGTGGAGGTTAGAGGGGGAGAGCGGTTAGTCGAGACACAAACTGCACACTTAATTTTAACATATAAACTGAAACACATGTACCGCTTTAAATCCCCAAAATTCAGTGTGATTTGACCTGCTTAACTAATGCATCAAAACTAATGAAGACTGTGATGTAACAAGGTTTTAAGAGCTATAAACTAATCACCAACATACTTTTATACTATAATCTTGTTCTATTTATGAACAATAAATAACAGTTGTTTAGAATACAAATAATATTTCTTACACTTTTGTTTCATAGTCCTTCCAGGCTTTGTCAAAAGGCTTTTTCAGATCCTGTGAAAACAAAACAAAGAAGATAATATTAACTTTAACAGTAGAAAAGTTTTTATTTGAACTTTGAAAAGACACCAAGTACCATGAGTCCTCAAAGCCTCTGAACTATCAAAAGTATATATTTATTGTTTCCCCTTATAATGCCTTATTACACATATTTATTGGCCTTATTGTGTAGGAGTTCTTAAAAAAAATCAGCCTCTACAGTTTTCACCAATATCTTGGAACTTTAGTGACTAAAAATGTTTTTTGTATCAGGATTTGGACATTTTGATTTCTGCTGTAAAACTGGGCTTTTTATTATGGGCCCTAATGTGGTTTCTTTGTCTTTTGAAGCCGGTCTGAAGTGGACACTCAAAAGAACTGCAGTTTTTTGCATTTCCAAATCATTTCAAATCATCTTCCTCAGAGATGCAGATGAAGTCTTTAACTTTGTGTGCTCGTGGTGTATAAATGTTGAGTCTGAAATATATCTTATAATAAATCATTTAAAATAATATAACAGAGTTAGCTCTAGACCTGCTCATTTCTTCAAGTGTCTTGAGATAGTATTTGTTATGAATAGGCTCTAAAGATTGAGTGATTCATTAAAAGTCCTCAGCTGTCTCAGCAGGGAGCTGGGCTAGGTTACTGTTTTGTTTTTTTGCGGGGGAAAAAGAAGCACTGTGATTGTGTGATTGTTCTTGGCACTCGTAATGGAATTCTTCCGCAAACAACTTTGATTTCTCATTGTCTTCGGTTTTCTTTCAACTTCTGCTTGAGTAAAGTGCTTGATTAGACACCTTCTCTAACACTGCCGTGTTGATTAAACAGTGATGAGAACCAACAGAGACTGGTTTTAGTAGGCGCAATTAGCTATTTAATTCCAACAAAATAGGATTCAACAAAACTAATTGTGCCTGATACCAGAGCCAGAATGTCAGGAAAATCATTTTAACATTCAAAAAGAAAATCAAGGAAAACACGTCACATTTCCCTCATATTGTTCCTTTGTATTTTAGTCCAAAAACATCAGTAAGCACCTGTTGAATCTTGGCAATGAAGCAAGGTCTTCAGCCAGATAAAACTCCTTAGAAACATTAGTGCTCAAACTTAAAGCTGCACTTATACATGTTTGCTTCCACTTACGTCCATAAAACTGAAAACCAATCATGCTCAGCTCTGCCCAGCTGGATGGACAGATTAGGGCTTCAGCGCATTTTTCAAGCTCCAGAGAGGGCAGTAGTCCCACTATTGACCTCCGCTTGAGCAGCAGGGGAGGGACATGCTCAACCTGTCAACCCTCAGGATCACTGTGTCTGGTTCACTGGGCTGATTCAAGAGCACTCAGACACTCAGTCGACCAGCTCAAGGGCAGAAACCACAAGAGGAAATAAGACTATAAAAATACAAAAGAAGCCGAAAACCAGGGTGCAAGAATGAGTCTGTGTGGGAATAAAACCAATGCAAAAGAAGGAAACAAACTCTGGGTCAAGAGAGAGCCAGGGAGAAAAGAGCAGGAAGGAAATGTCAGAGCCAGAGAGAGGAGAAAAATGGTAACAATGGCTAAAAATACCAGACAGGCATCACCGGGCAGGGGCAGGCCAGGCAGAAGAGGCCAAAGAATGAGGCAAAATACTCCCTGAGAGAGCTGCGAGTTCTCTGCGCCCTGGTTCCTCGTTTGGCTGACTTCAAAGGACGAAGGAGGAATGTCATGACCTTGAAAAGGCCTCCTTTTCAAACTGAAAAGCACCTAATACCTGCAGCCACACAAGTCCAGGAATAGCACATCCTGTTTCACATTCCTCACACCTTTTCGCAACACTGTATTGAATTTTCAACCTGGCCGTCAGGACTGAAGGAAGAATTTAGTTTGGATCTGTAGTAATGATGCATCCAACATTATCTCACTTCACCCATTTGCATTAAGCTTTGTATCATCAATGGTCGTGCATCCTGCCCTCATTTTCCCCTGAGATGGGAAATCTTTGTATTTTTAAGTCTGAAAAGGAGCTTCCAGTGACGCAAAATGACGATTTTTGCATCACTGGAAGCTGTTGCAGTTAGCGGGGTGAAACTACAACGCTAGTTCCTCATATTTTCGACCACTGAAGCTACAGACCAATCACAGATCAGTGGGTGGGAACTCACTTCCAGAATCGAAACTTAACCCACAATTTCCCAGTTTGGGATCAATAAAGTAATTCTATTCTATTCTATTAACGCCAAGAAGGCATCAACTTCAAAATTTAGTTCACATTTCTACTACATATATGACCCAATGTCAATACAGATTCATGTTTCAACAGGTGAAGTATCCCTTTAACTCTGGTCATATTTAGTTAAGCAAATTGTTTTTTTATTTGGCTTAAAAGCTAAGGCCACCATTCAATACAGAGAAATGGAGGGGCTTGCAGTGTTTAAAGGCTGTTGAAAATGTAATTGAAACAGATAAGAATATTCATCCTGTTACACTGAGACCTCACCACACAATACTGCAGTCCCCCGGGATGTCACTGTGTCGGATAAGATAAAGGGTCATTCCGTTTTTGTTATTAATTTGTCAGCCCAACCAATCACAACTTTGCTGAAATGCTGTGGTGATCGAGGACGTTGGACTAAAAATGTTTACTTTTTTTAAACTGACAGGGTCAACATTATTTTGGATATATATATACATGTATGTTTGCACAATTTAATGATTTTTGCCAACTGGTTCATCATCAAAAAGCTGATCATAGACATTTTTGAACCACACGAGTATGGTCACAACATAATGAGGCATTCCAATTTGTCGGCTATCACACCAGCACTCAATGCATCACAGCTGTCAGGCTACATGTGTGGAACATTTACAGGCTGATATTGTGAATCCTGATTTCAGAATGAAACAATGTTTTATAAAGAGTCTGCCAGTTACTTTACTCATGATCAATGAATCATTTAAGTCGTACGCGAAGGTGGCTCGGGTGGTTACAACTCACTGAATCACAAAGAGACCGGGTGCAGCTGGATCACAGACCCCTCTGCTCACTATGCACTTCTAAAAACACTGCAGATTTTACAGCAACTGTCCGGACACTGTAGCTGAATAGTGATGAGCTGATATGACTCACAGTAGGTTAAAAAAATAAAACAGACCAGTCGATAAGCAGAGGACTAGAGGGTCGGCTGCAGGCGTGACATCATCCCAGCGTCCACTCAGAAAGTTGCCTGTTAGCAGAACAGAGTTGTTGTCTCAGCACTTTCCTTTTTTCCACCGAGTGGAGAGCGTCTGTGTTTATCTTCAGTAATAACACTAGTGGGTTCTCCAGGGACCCCCAACTCATACTTTTTTTTTTTTTGCTTGTACTGCAGTGACTTAGCTGTATCCTGAGTCAAGACTAGTTCAGTGGAATCGTATTGAAAATTCCCAAAACACTTCAGTGCCCCACACAGCTAAACTACAGGAAGTACAGAGATGAGAAAGGGAAGAACTCAAGGCAGCCTTAAAATGATCATCATCTTTTCTTTCTTTTTACACATGAATTATCAAACGCCCTCTTTGATGAAATGTCTATTGAGATATATGAAGTGGAAAATGTTTTTCTAGCTGAGTAACAGCATTGACAGGTTGCTAGGTTGGAGCCCTGTAATTACAGAGCCATAAGCCATTAGCAGCTGCTTCCCTTGGGGTGGGTTCATCGATGCACTCATTGCTAAAGACAGCGCTGGCTGAATATTAACAAGCTCAAACAGCCGACAGAAAGCCATTAAGCCAGGAGTTATACCAAATGAAAGGACTGGTGACTATTAAAGCTGCAACACGGCTGCACTAATATTGGAACATTTCAGGATTTCATATTAAATGTTCATGCATTGAAAAGAATGAGGAGTGATGTTTTAAAGGTCTTTGTTCTTGGCAATTTCTTTCCTAACTATCTCTAAAAAGTATTTTCCAAACTAAGGCATGCCCTCTCATTGCTCTGCCTACCTGCTGCAGCCTTTTAAGAAAATAAAGACGTCTTCGTTTTGTATGCATGTCCAATTTTGCTAATGTTAACTACTCAGCAGACACGTGTGCATTTTGTTTTTTGTTTTTTCTACAGCCTCTGAATCATAAAGCATGTTACATCTAAGTGCGGATAAAAGACTTGGGCAATGTGAAAGCTTTAAGTGCAATATTCTTGTGTTGTATGATGGCAACTTTAAATTCAGTGACTGTATATCCTTTGTGACATCCCCTTGATATGAAGCCTGCATCATGAAAGAAATAAAATGTGCAATGACATTGTTCAGTATTGCCATGACAATATGAAGTGTGATAAATAAACTAAATTAAAGAGCACATATGTTTAAAGATAACACCTGTGTTTCAAACATGTTTCTCCTGAATCCAAAATCATTCCACAATTTTTTCCACCACTTAATTAACATCAATGAATTCGATGGTGACTCATAGCTAGATTGAGCTTCATTTGACTGTATCATATTGTATGAAAGCATTCTTATTATACCTCCATCCATTTATTTATTGCAATAAATTTAGACTTCAGCTATGAGTTTATTGCAGGTGCTTGTGGTAACAAGGAAGTTGCAGGTAATTGTGCAGCACTACTTGAAATGTATTCAAATTGTAGCCCTCTGAAAACTGATTTGACAAAGAAATATACAAACACATCATATTAATAGATCTAATCTGTATTCTAATATTGGATCATGAAACATACAATTTCCATTAATAATGAGTGTAACTATTGTCCACTTCCCTGGTCTCTACAAAAAAAAACCTCTCTTCCTCTTTTTTTTGACATCCAACCTACTATGTTATCTTACTCCCTTTTCTTCTCTCCCTGCAGCCTGTAATGCAGGTCTGGACTTCTTCCCCTCTGTCCCCTTTTCTTAACTAACAGGTACTTCCCCTGGGAGAAGAGAAGCAGGTTAATGACAGAGGAGGAGGATGATGATGAAAGGGGGGAGGGGAGGGATGAGGGGACTGCCTCTGGGTGAGGAGGTGAGCAACAGGTCGAGAGAGAGAGAGGTTCATCCGCAGAAAAAGACATTTCTAGATGACATCTGCCCTACTTTCTTTCACCCATTTCTTTATTAAAGCTTAAGTTCTGAGGCTCGCTGACTTTTCAACAGTGCTGACACTTAAGCAAGTGTGTCTGAATGTGTGTGTGCGTGCGTGCGCGTGTGTCCTGAGGTATAAAACATCCAACAGATCATTAGCCCCGTGTCGTAGGGGTAATGAGAATCATCGGAGAGCTAATGAGCAATAAGTGGGTAAGCATTACAGATGTGACTGGCAGAAAAAGACAGACTAATGAGGACGGGGGTTGATGGGGACAGAGTGAGGGAGACGGGGGGGGGGGGAAGACGGGGAGAGATAATAGTTAAGAGAGACGGACAAAAAGAGGAAATCATGGAGGAGAAAAGCAGACAGAGACTGAATAGAAAACACTTCAGTCAGGTCAGGTCAGGGGTTGAGTCTGCGCCAAGAGGGCTGGGGGTCACAGGGACAACCAACAACCAGTGTTTCTATGGCAACCAGCCTCATTATGGAATTGCCTTAATCACATCATACCTCGGTAGAAACCGCAGCCAATCATGTGCCTGGAGAGTGAAAGGTCATAGAGTTGTGCAGACAGTAACAAGAGTTGATTTCATTACAGAGCTGCAGGGCTTGTTCACGGGTTTGTGTCTGGTCTGTCCGGTGGACGCACATGACCGGCCTGCAGACTCACTAATGGGATGCATTAGTGTACAGGATGGGGCTGTTTATTGAACTTCAATACTTTTTAAGTGCAGATGGATATGTGACTGTATCAAGTATTGTAAGTAAGTATTGAAAATGATTATGCGTTAACGTCTGGTTGGATTAGCTCTTCTCTGATCAGAGGTTCCATTTTTTTTTTTTTTGACACCCTGTTTGCATACATGTTTTAGGCATCATGCGCTGCAAAGCCACAGATCAAGTCTGAGGTAGTTGCATTAGTGCATCATCTTTCGGTCTTCTGGTTTCCCGTGTCTATTGTTAGGTCAAATTAAAGCTGAAAACACCCAGATAATGACGATGGAATACCTTTTTCAGGACATTTTAGGGCAAAGTTTTTGACTGCCTGCTTGTGTTTTGACAACACTTTGCGTCATATTGTAGGAGTTGTGTCAAGTAGATTGCAAATATAAAGACATGTCCAACTCCTCTTTGGCTAGGCAATGAGTGCATTATCTAAATGGCAAAATAACTCAAACAGTGTAATGTGGATGCAGCATCTTTCCCCTTGATTGAGCTTCATTTAGGCATTTCATGAATTGCTACAAAATGTCATTTTAACTTCTTTCCCTCAAACAGTCTATATCTGGAGAATTGCAATTTAAATGGTATCGCCAACTAGGGAGAGTCAGCAACTTTAGGAAAACCACTTTTTCTGCTGAGGAGAGACATCTGCTCATGCACAGAGGGAAGGCCTGAACAGACTATCTATGGGAGCAGCAAGAATCCACCAAAGCTGAATTAACTGTGAGCGTGTTCTCATCGTTTGGCTTTATAGGAGGCAGCACAATAGGTAAAGCTGATTTATATAAGGAGTTTCATGCCCGTGTGTGTAACATTGGCGTGTGCAAACTGCAAAAACCTGCCTCTGTAAGCTCATCTTACTATCTGAATATAGAAAGAAAGTGCTATTAGCTTTAGTTAGATGTAACATTCACACCTCATTTTAAAACCATACCAACAAGCCCATGTGTGCACAATTGTCTTAGTTTTTTATTTCTTTTGACGTTTTACAATTTCTCTATCTCTAAGTACAACATTTGGGCTTTAAACATTTAACTATGGCATTCCACTGCAGTATTTTCTGATTCTTTGGGAAGCACAAAATTGTTTTGGTCAACACACCAATTCATGACTCTGGATCCTGAAATCCTGAATCCTTCATGTGACTGAGGATTCAGTGGTTGACACTAATGCTTCCTGCAAAGTCATTGAAGGCTTCATTCCGGCCTTTTTTTTTGTTGTGTTTTTATTTCTATTTTTTTTTTTACTATTATATGTACTTTATTGATCCCTGAGGGGAAATTCTGATTTACACTATGTTAATACTCACACATATAGGCCCAAAATAGACTCGTGCACAAACAGGACCTTATGCTTATGCATTAGTGGAGAGATTTCAGAGTGAGGGGGCTGCACACAGGGGACAACATGAGCATTTGTGGGTTCTGTGCCTTGCTTAAGGACACCTCTGCAGTACTTTGGGAGTAAACTGGCACCTCTCTCTAGTAACCAGACCAATGTCCATACTTTGGTCTGCAGTAAGACATGAACCGGCCACCCTCAGTTTCCCGACCTACGCCCCTACTTACCGAAATACTGCCTCCCCATACACTACACTGCACTGAACGATAAGCACGCATCGTCATGTTGAGATGTTGCAGACATTATGCTCCTGCTTCAGGTATTGATTGTTGAGATTTTTATGTTTTCTTTGCTGCAGCTCACTGATTATTCAGCAGAGTGCCAAACTACATTTTTCTACTTGTATTACACTTCCTGTTCAGTTGCAGAGTAACATGAGATCATGCTGCGTCGCCGTCTTACCCCTTTGACTCCCTTCAGGTCTCCTTTCAGCAGGCTGTCCAGCGGAAATGTGATGATGTTGTTCATGTTTTGGAACTGGAGGAGGGTGAGGAGAGAGACAGATAAAGAGTTAAAGGTTACATCAGAGGATTTAAAACAAACCTGACGACACTGAGACATAATCCTTCTACAGTTTTGTGTGTCATTTGGGTGTGTGCGAGAGGAGTCAAACCTAGAAAGGGTGGCACTTAGGAAAAAAAGGAACATGTTTTCTTCTCTTTAAAAACAATAGATGCTGGTGAAAAGTGTCTGGATGAGCAATATAAAGTTATGGATATAAGAAAATATATCTTACTGACACAAAGAGTTAAATACATTCTGCAAGGTCTCTCTTAAATCTAGATGTTTTTTTTTTTTTACATGTAGCACCATTTTTAAGTACATTAATTAAATAAACAAATAAAAAACCATCCACGATAACACAATTATCCCCTCTGTTTGAAAGAGGCCAGCCTGGCTTCGTAATGCTGCACTTCATCCAGGAAGCCCGATAAGGTTTTCAGAGATTACATCTTCACATCCAGCTCATATTTCGTTAATAAAAGGTGTCGAGATAACACTAATACAAAATCTCCAGCTCCTGCTCGGGCAGTGAGTCTACACAGCCATGGACCACACATGATGGTGTCAGATTTTTCCAATAATGCTTTGGCCTGGATTCAAAACCTGAGCGGGATGAGGTTGGATTAGATCCAGCAGATATTTGGTGTTTCAGTGGCTCTTTGGCCGTCTCAGTGGAAAACTAGAGCTACCTCCTGAGAGCTTCGAGATCCAGGAGGAGCTTAGAGAACACACACACACACAGACTCGAGGGGATTGCGACAATTAGGGACAGGGTGGAATTCTCACTTTGTCCCAGAAGAGTTTTTACCTCCGACACACAACTACACCCATTAACAGTAGCGTAGTGTAGACTCACCAGGTTTTTGAAGAGTGCAGTGAGCTCCTTGGTGAAGACAGAGAACTTGAGGAAAGCTGAACCCAGATCAGGATCATCTCTGTACACACAGTTCTCTCCAAACTTCTCCAGGGCTTGAGTGTACTGCTCCTCGTTCTCTACATGGGCTGGAAAACACACACACAAATACACACAGAGGTCATCTTTCACGGGTAGAAGTTATCCACCCAAGTTATTTCACACTCCGATTGTTTCCTCTCTCTCAAAAAAAAATCAATCTCTGTGTATAAATAATGTATAATAGTCTTCAGTGAAAGCTGGTCAATAATTCTGTGACCTGTCAAGGATTTCCTTGCAGAGTTTGTTTGCTGAGGTAGTAGGTGATGTCCTCCACCAGTTAGGTCGTGTGTACTGTTGTCTACTTTATTCCTCGACATTTCATTTCTGCTGAGCTAATTCAGACAAACATATTTGAAGCCCCTATTTCTTTTAATGTAAGGATAAGTAGGGTGAAAGCAGCCGGTTAATAAATGACCTGGCATTTGCTTCCAGATATACCGAAGCCCTGCGTCTTGTTTTTTTTTTTTAAATATGTCGTCATCAACATGTTTCCTTAAAGTGTTCAAAACTCTGCGGGAACTTTAAGGGAACACGTGATTTTATATAAGTAGAGTCATAGACTGCTGCTGGATAGCTGGCAGCTTTTTTAACAGGGACATAAATATTGATATTGACTTGCTTTGCATTTCTGACCAGTGCTACTAGGTCATTTAACCATTCAGTAAATTAAGAAAAGGTTATAAATCAACTTTAGACTGAATTATTATAAAGGACTCAATGCCTTACAGTCTCTGGTACCAGCTTCAGTTTGATAAAATCTCTTTCTGCATTATATACAAGAATATGTCATAGCTTATGACTGAATCAAACCACATTTAAGAATGTTTTTTGTGTAGTCTCAACTTCTTCTTCTTATGTTTAAGATAAGATTAAATAAGTTAAGATTCACATATTCATCCCCATTTGGGTTCATTCCCTAATAACAAATCAAAAAGGGTGAAAAAGGGTGATTAAGCACTGAATACAAACAACAATAATATTGCAATAAGAAAGTCAATAAATAATACTCATATGATAATAATAAGATGTTGACCTAGTTTAGATGGCTGTAATGAAATCTTGATTAGACACATTTATTTATTTATTTATTTTTTAAATGGTAAGTTGACGATGGACAGGAAAAATAAAAGATAAATCCCCCTGAACTAAATAAACGCAGAGTCAGCAACGTGGTGGGGAAACCTCAAACAAGCCGTGACCAAAGTCTCCATGCGTGTTTAAAGTCATTCTAATCTACCCCGGCGTTAGGCCTGGATGATTCTTCATAATACATTTCACGCTAGACTAGGCAGCTGAAAACAGCTAACTCCACTGGGATGGAGCATGGGGGACTGTTGCTATGACAACAAATGCTAAGCTACAAGATGAGACAGAGGTGGGGTTTAGGGAGGGAATTGAGGGGGGGGGGTTAAAAATATAAAATATGTAGACTAAAAGACACCTTCTTTTAGTCTTCACAAATGACTTCACAAATGACTCAGCTTTTTATCTTCTCACAAACACTCAAAAAACTACGCACACGCGCATACACACACACACACACACACACACACACACACACACACAGAGAGAGATAACAGTCAAGGCAGGTTCCCAGATGTGTCCGGTTTATAGATGACGCTTGATAAGCTCATGTCTCAGCTGTACAGATATCCATCATGTTATTAAAAAAGGAAAGCTAAAAGCATCTGAGTCACTACCTGCTGACCCCCTGACATGAAAAAAGAAAATCTAATTTAAGCCTCCGAATATCAACTGACACAGATGCTGAGCTGGATGATAACAGTCTTCTGAGGCTTAAAGCACAAGTGGTAAAAAAAAAAAGAGTGTTGCTTAGCCTCTAGAAAGGATAAAAAAAAATGTTGATACACTTGAGCATTAGGAGATTATGTACTGGATCCATTCTTTAAAAAACACTGTATTGATGTTTTATTTCATTTTACATTAGAATATTGGATTTTTTTTTATTATACATGGATATGATGTTTTTTTTTTACAAAGAATAGTGCTGCTATTTAAAAGCACAAAACTCTTTTACAGTGAGTTATATTATACTTTAATCGTGTTTTTAAACTTTGTAATATCTCATCTGTGTTCATGTATTTCATAGTATTATGATGTGAATCCGGATCCTTCATTCTTAGAAATCTGCGGCTTAAAGCTTTTAGTGTAGAGAAGCTGCAATAACGATTAAAAAAGTAGCTGCATAGCAAAGCTGCTTTTTAAATTAGACCTAACCCTTTTTTTATATTCGGTGATCAATTGGTTAGATTTATAAAAAGGTGAAAAACTTGAATTACAACTCCACAGACACTAAATCAATGCCATAAACTGAATTAAAGATCCAACATGAACAGTGAAATCAGAGAGAAGCACAGAATCCTCTCAACGTAGGCCGATACTATTCCAGAGATCTGAAAATCATTGCTGTTTCGCTGATTCAATTCCCGCGGAGGTACGGGAAAGACTGATTGGTCTTGATTTTCTATTCAAAATGTACAAAAAAAAAAAAGTTGCAATTTAAAAATGAATCAAAAATGATCAGTGACTAATATAAGAGCTGATAGCTTGAATGTACTTCCAGGCTGATAAACTGTCCTTAGTATATAAAGCATACATAATTCTGGTGTCATTTCTTTTAGTAAAATAAATTAAATTTGGATGGAAGAGAGATGAGACAAAACAAACACCTGGAAACCTGTGGCTCTATTTTCTGACACTGTGATTTACATTTGCTTACACATTACATATGCCCACTGAGGCAGTGAAAGCAGAGAGCAATGTGTCACACAAAGAGAAACTTCAATCATTTTGTGTCACACACTGACCCTGACTACACACCCTCAGTGTATCGTTTACACATCAGCTCCGGGTGTGTGTGTGTGTGTGTGTGTGTGTGTGTGTGTGTGTGTGTGTGTGTGTGTGTGTGTGTGTGTGTGTGTGTGTGTGTGTGTCAGGCTCAGAGAAGACAGGGCGGAGGCCTGCCGCTGTTTTTGAAGTGACACATGTGAGCAGTCTGGAACCCCCCCCAGGCTGCTTAGTGTGTACATGTGTATTTGTTACAACATGACTGAAATACACCACACATGCAGCCTAAAGTACAGAGAACCACAAAGAACTGCATGACACGAACAACCAGTTTATGAGTAATATGGAGAGTGAGACAGAGGACAGAGACAGTCCTCTTTGTAGTTTCCTGTGTCAACAAAAACCTGCTAATTCTGTGATGCCTAAACATGAAGCTGCTGTTCAGGATTCCTCTTTAGATAAACATGGGCTTTGTATCCTTCTAAACTGTAATCTTTAAGTTAAGACCTTCTGAAACTTTTTGTCAGTGTCATTATACCTTTTTTTTTTTAATCATTGTTATTAAGACAGAACAACCTCCATTGTTGCATCTGAATGCTGAAAAACATCTGACTGTGGGGGTTACCACCACAGCGCCCCTGGATGGGGTTTCCAGGGAACCTTAGGGCTGTGCGCGACACAGACGGAGCAAACTGTGAGCCTTAAGAGTTGTTGACCCCAGGAAACAATGAGCTTGAGTTTGCAGGATCTCAGAGGCCATACTGTGGTTAAACACAAATGTAAACAAACACAGATTTACAACACACTCATCAGCTTGTGCATAACCAACTCTGTAACACTCGCTTAGGATTCTCTAACATCACATAGGCTTGTCTTGCAGCTTTTTCCTATCTCACTATTTTACACACACACACACACACACACACATACACACAGATAAATATAGTGATACACACACGCAGGGTTTAATCACCAAATACCAGACCAGCCTCTGCTTCCTCTCGCAGTCTCTCCCACACTCGTTTGCTCACACTCAGCTCCATCGGTCCTGCTCTGCTGACGCGCCGACTCTCACTCACACAATGTGAGGCCGACCCCAGATCATCCCACATCTCTCGATGGACTCAATGATAACACGATCAGACTCCACGGACAGTTTGCAATACATGGCCACTGAGGGGAGGGAGTTCAACTTTTACACGCAGTATACATGACAAAGATCTATAGGATGTGACCGAGCATAACAACTGAAAAAGAGGATCATTTTAAAAGGAATAGTTTCACATTTTCAGAGACGTGCTTTTTCACTTCGCACGGATGAGGTATTTTTTTTTATCCGTTTCCAAGTTGGTTACTTATCTGAATTCAGAATCAAACGAATGCCTGAACAAATCTTTTGTTATGCTTCCTCTTGTTCCTTGCTAGATGCGCGTTCAAAATAAAACTAAAAAACACAAAAGGATTTTTTTTTCAACTCAACACACTGGTAAATGACTGAATAGGTCTTAATTGAAATGTTTAACACAGCGTTCATCAAGCACACTTCAATATAGCATTTTGCAGCTCGTTTTGATGATGATTTTTTTTAGCTGAATTATTTTGAATATCACTGTTTTCTACTATTTCAAAAACTTCTTCTACAAAAGTCTTTTGTAACTTTGTCCTCCTTTATGTCTTTCTCTCTATCCAGAGTAATTACACCAGAGCCTTTGGGAGGCCCATTTTCTTGGTTACCTGGATGTGTGTGTGCATGTGTGTGTGTGTATACAGCAGGACCAAAAGGACGCAAAAGACATGACCAGATCAGTTTCCATAGATACAGTATATTCAGCATTCTTCTGATGAAACCCATGACGAGTGCTGCAATATTCAGCAGCTGCAAGAAGCCCTCCTGTCCACACATAGTGCAGGTATAACAGCTGGAATACAGCATTCACTCGTCTTCCTGAGTAGTTTTTTTTTTTGTTCAGCAGCTCTGCCCTCACGGATCTGGCTCCATCAGCTCCAGGATCTTTAGGGGGCGTTTGAGATGCTGCTGCTGGTTTATTCATCAAAACACACAAGCTGACAACCTGTCAGGTGCCTGCAGCAGCACAGGGGCTGCGTCGCTCTCTGCAGTTTTCCCTCATTCTCGGTTTTTCTTTACTCTCTGCGAAGAGCTCACAGTGCTTGCTCAGCTTCTTTGTCTCTCCATATCTTATTTAACCTTGAAAAGTTGTTTATTTTTTTTTCTGACTTTTGTTTACCAAAACTCCATCGGCCCCCACCTGAACCTCATCATTACTTTTCCTATTGTCATAGCCTAAAATATCTTTGTACAGCTAGTCTTACCAGGCGAATACCCCGAGGTGTTTTGTGTGTCTCATTATTCGGGCGTTATCCCAGAATCCTCTCTACAGAACATTAATAAAACACTTTTTCACCTTCTGCTTTAATTCCTGTAACACAACTGCTTTCTTAAATGTCAGCATGTATTGTTACCTGATATGATACTTGATTTTAGTCACTTGATACGCTTATATTTGCAGAGATTATCGGTCGGGCTCTATTAAAAATAGTTATCTGAGATGCTGAAATCGATTTTTTTAAATCATTTCGTAAAAACAAAATTAGATATTATCACCCTACCAGAACTTTGTATTTGCACATCCAGCAGATACGGCACAACTCAAGATGTTTCTTGAAGTCATTTTCTTGTCATATTATAAATTAATGCTCAATATTATCTCTTAATCTGGCCTTGTTTGATGTTGAAACACTGTACAGAAGAAGAATATAAGATTCAGCTTCCTCTGGTTCTTCAGGAAGAAGGATCTCCTTCATTATAAAAGGCTTATTTTTGGCTTTTGTAGCTTCTACAATAACAAATAGAATTACTAATCGGTATTACTAGTAAAGGGTTTAAACAGAAGACGTTATAATCCTTAAAATGTACTAATTATGATGAGTATTATTTTTCACCAATGCACATGTCTCTGGCTGATGTTCTAGAGATACTGGATCATGCTGATGCACACAGAGACCAGAGTGCTTCATGGAGTCTTGTTGGTTGCATGTGTGCAAAGCAGATCAGCGTCTGAAGAATCATGGAGGTCAAGGTGACCGGAGTTAAAACTGAAGAACTGTCAACAACAAACATTCCCAGCAGCATTTTTCACAGACAAAACACTGTTTCTGTTGTAAACACAGACAGGAATCAGAACAAGCTTCACGCTTCTGGGGGGAAAAACAGAGGTTGGTTTGCTTTCTCCAAATTTTTCAAACAGTAGATAATCCAGCTCTCAAACCCTGCTGCGCTAACCACAAAGATTCAAATGAAGGTAATTCATCAACAACAGCTGTATTCACTTTTGGCTGCTGAGCGTTGTTGGGAGAATAATCTTCTAGAAGTACACCTGAACACACCAATACAAAATAAAGACTCCGGCAGAAACAAAAAGCTTACATGTATATGTGTTATACACGTCGTACATGCATGTTTAACAGGGAGGTGAAGTGTGAAGATTAGCGTTTCCATGCCTCAGCACCCACATACAAACACAGCTAGCACCCCTCCCCAGCTGTTCCTCTGGGGGTCTGCATCAGACAGCTGTCCCTCTGGTCTGAACAGAGGCCGCACTGTTCTGAAAAAAAAAAAGACCCGCTCAGCACATTGTTCAGAGGTCTCTCTCTCTGTCTGTATCTCTCTCTCTCTCTCTCTCTCTCTCTCTCGCTCTCTCTCTCTCAGCGGGGTCCTGTCAGGCAGGCCAAACAAAAGACACTGGAAACACCCAACACTGGCACACAGCTTCAATGAGCATGGTAGTATCAAACACACACAGAGCGAAAAAAAAAAAAAAAAAAAAATCCCTGCTCCCGCCTCACAGGAAGTGGAATACAATGAATATCTCAATTTCCAATCTATTGTGTATTATGAATTAAAACAATCCTCCTCTGAATAAATGTTCGCCTTATTTGCATGCCAACCTGCAGCGAAACATCGAACTCTTTGTTTTTAAAACACCAAAGAGAGAGAGAAGTAAATTCAAAAAAACGAAAGATTCATGATTTTTTTCTTTAATTGAACTTGGGGTGCCAGATAGCCTAGTGGTTATGTCACATGCCCCTCTTAGCGAGTGGCCTTGGTTCAAATCCAAATCAACTACTGACTGATCAATTGATTGATAGATGGATCTTTATTGTTACACAGTAGTATGATATTTGTCTTGCACCACAGTGGCTCCATTTGCGACATACAAATTAACGACAAGATACAAAGATAACTTCAATGTATTTGAGGTTGATCTCCACATTAAATATAAGGATTGACTGGTGCAAAAAAGAGTGCTTTAGTCTGACCATATTCTACGCAGAACCCTTTATCTCAGGTTGGATGGTTATGGTTTGTTGTATAAATATTTATTTTTTCACTGTTCAGAGTGTGGTTAGGGTAGATATAGACAGATAGACACATAGATGAATAGACAGACTGTGTTACAGAAGGGGGTCATCAGAGCAGAATAACCGTCAGAGAAATAAATGCACATTAAACAAACCCTTACAACAGAAGAAGAAAATGTAGATCCAGAAAATTCTCATCAATAAATTTAGCGTATTTTAAGTTTCAAGGCTAAATGGAAAATGGTTTGAAGAGGACATGAAAGTCCCGAGATCAAGGACAGGCTGAGGACTCACCCAGACCAGACGTGTAGATGGCCTTCACAGACTTCTTCATCTTGTACAGAACGCTGCGGTCCACATCTAGAGCCTGCGCACACACACACACACACACACACAAAGAGGAAGATGTTGAGAAAGCGCATCACATCTTTAACAAGACTTGTGTTTATTGCTCAGATGTTTGTTTATTGCTCAGATGTTTGTGGGGATGGAAAGATACCATTTAGCCTTTATGAGGTTTGTGTTATTACGTAGAGTACAAACAACATTTAAAAGGACACGACTCCCTAAGCTGGTAAGATGAATATAAACAAGGTACATCAATATATGAAGGCAATATCCAAATTAAGTCAATTCATAGGTCAGTCTTATAGCCTAATAATTGAAAAGGAATTTCCATTTCCTTCGGTCTTTATATTTCATTTCACCTTAATTTAACCAGGAAAGAAACACGTTGGGATCAAAAATCTCTTTTTCAAAAGTGTACTGGCCAAGACACGCAGCAGCACAATTAACAGAGTTTCACACAACGAGCAGCCAAACATAAAAACACAAAAATACATTATTAGCCATTAAAAGACACAGATCACAAATTTTATCAGCAAATGTTCCTCAAAAGATCTTCCACAGACACATCAAGGAGAACATCTACAGCCAGATGTGTTCCGCATCCAAGACATTTAACATCCTCTTAAAAAACAAGGTCCTGGGATCGAAGATTAGAAGTCCCTGTTCTCTTCAGATGACCGATGAAGGTCAGACGGTATAAAGGAAGTAGATCTAGACTTGTAGAGAAGAATACGCCGGTGTTTAAGTCAAGGACGTCCATCCAACACGTGCATACAACAAAGAAAGATGAGTGAGGAATTTTAAATGACAGATAAACCTCACTAATATTTGGTCAATATCCACTCTTGTTAAGAGGGGAGGGTTTTGTGAATGACACGTTTATCGCCTACATTATATAGAGAGCCTGACTGTGACTGATATAGATTTCATAAGTGGGAAAAAGGCTTTATATGTTCCATAAATTAAAAAAAATCAATCTACTGTGCATATCCAATATTTCCATATTGTAGTGTATACAGGACCTACACCATGCAGCAGTCACAGGCCATAAATGTCACCAGCCCCTCCCACTCTCTCTAGGTTCATTCTCCAGATAGAGAAAATACTAGGGGTCTGAAAGGAGAAACTCTGTGTGCCCTGTGTGTGTGTGTGTGTGTGTGTGTGTGTGTGTGTGTGTGTGTGTGTGTGTGTGTGTGTGTGTGTGTGTGTGTGTGTGTGTGTGTGTGTGTGTGTGTGTCATTTCCTCTTCTGGCTGTAATGAATTATTCAAACTAAAGCTAACAATAGAACTTTACTCCCTTGTCAGTTAATGTGTTTGTGAGTGTGTGTATTTATCAGTATAATACCGTGTAGGACAAGAGCAGTGAGCATCTGAGGTCTCTTACTTGACGGACAATCTCCCTGAGGAGGGTTTACATGAGCACACAAAGCTCACACAAACTTACACATGAGCCCATGAGTTTCACAGAATAAACAGTGAAAATTCCAGCAGAGACAATGCCTCACTGTAGCAGTGATGAGTTAGTGGGTTCTCTCGGGATGAGGGGGATTTTGGGGATTTTGGGGAAATTAGTTTTTAGGTGCTTTATTAAGTATGTCCACCCGACCGGGCCAGAGCCGGCGCCGCTTTTTCCTGCACTGCCCCCCCCCGTCTGACTGACACATATCAGATCCTCTGAAAACAAAACACACAATGGCTCCCATTCAGCTGTAACACACACACACACACACACACACACACACACACACACACACACACACACACACACACACACACACACACACACACACACACACACACACACACACACACACACACACACACACACACACACACACACACACACACACACACACACACACACACACACACACACACACACCTTTGCAAAAACCCTGAGATGTGAGGACAAAATGTATTAAAACCATAAATCAGTGTTGTGTTAATATCCAAGTTATGAGCACATTGATGTTGCATAATGCAAGAACCGCTCAGTATTTTGTTCCTTTATGTGTATATGTTTGAAATATGACCCTGATGAAAACTAGGAGACAGAACGACTGAAGTGACTATGAAATGAAATGACAGATGAATTAAGTGTTGTTGCAGTTGGACGGGGAGAACAAAAGAATAACCAAGAAAACTGATGCTGTGCATTTTCATTTTTCTTACAGTGCTGGGTCGTACAGTTGCTCACTTTAAGTCTACTTACAAAGCGTAACCCGTCAGCCTGTTCGCATATATAGTTTCACTTTACTGATAGACACAGAGCTGTCATTTACATATTTTCATTGGAAAGGTCAAGTTGATAATGTTTCAAACACAAACGACTTTAGGGAAATTGTAAGGACACCATGCATCAACAAGGTTCTCTATTGTGTGTTGATGTGGATTGATTGCGCTCCTTTGACATTATTTTATTTTGCAAGTATCGAGCTTCCTGAAAAAGCTGGTATTGCTACATCCCATAGCAATGAACACACACTTAATGACTGAGTGCATTGTTATAGCAGTCATCTGTTAAATGCAGTTATGGATCAAATGTGCAAGTATTTGTTTTCTCAGCAGTTTTATTGAGTTTTGACATGTTGGTTAATAAAGAAACTAATAATTTTATAACTCATAAACAGATACATTTTTTGTGAATGTTCGGGGGAAAATCTGGGCTTTTTTCAAAGTCAATTAAAAAAAAAACTAGGAGAGAAATAGACCTTCGGACATTGCATCAATTTCAATCGCCAATTGCTGTGATTTGAACCAACAGGGGAACAGTGTTCTGTTAAGAGAGCTGTGCGCTGTGAACCTGGTTGATCTACAAGCTGCATCAAATCATTAAAAAAAAAAAAAGTGAAAGCCTTACTCACACAAAGCCTTTAAAATTTAGGCTGAAAGTCTTATAATGGATCATGAAGGTAATCATAAACTAAATAACACAAACATAAAGCAGACAGAACGACTAGGAGTAAGTGGGACTCGTCAAGTAAAGCGTTAAAAATAAAATATGATGGGGGGGGCGTGCAGTAAAAAAAGCCGACCAGAAGCTACTTGTTCCTCTGAGTAAAAGCAGGCCTTACAGCACTGCGGTTGAAGCTCCTTCAACTCCTGTTAAATGACTCATCAGTCACATATGCTGTCATCCCTTCAGCTCCGTCTGGCTCAGGGACCCCCTGACCGTAGCTGAGACCCAACACAGCTACACATGTCTGCATAATGTTGGAAAGGTACTTAAAAACAGACACAGATACTAAGGGCGCACTCACACTAGGCAAAGTTGTCCCGTACTGTTTTCTCCCCTTCCCATTCCCCCGCTGGCATGCACTCACACTGCTCCAGGGCAAACCAGGCCTGAGCACAGTTGCCTCTTTTCCATAAGGCAACACCTCGTAACACTAGATAGTCACATATTTTCTCAAAGCCCTCAAAGTTCTTGTGGGTTTTATCCACCTGACTCTGAATTCCACCCAAATTTCAAATAAACATTCGACCTCTGCATCGGACCAACGTGAACCCTTTGCTGCTATTATTTAAAATGACTGACGAGAGGAACGCTCAAATAGATAAAGGTTTAAGGTTGCTTCATGTCCACCTTGCTTACTTGTGCATGAGCAAGTGTACTGTGCCAAGCAAACCTCTTCCAACTGTGCCAGGGCGAAGGAAGTGTACCTTGCTTGAAAAAAGTACAGAGCACTCACGCTAGTCAAACAAACTGGACTTTGGGGGTCAAAAAGTGTTAGAGCACAGTATGAATTTCCTATATTGAGTGCGCCATTAGAGTGAGATAAATACAGCAGCAGATATAACTATCTCTGTCTACACCTATGAACAAATCTAACCACACAAAGATACAACATGAGAGGACCAGGCTGTTTTCTTAGCACGTTACATCTTTTCCCATGCAAAGCTTTGAGAGCACTGGAAGAATTTCTGCTGGTTTCCAAACTTCTGTTTAGGGAAAATAAAATAAAAAACATCCAGCTTGAGATGGAAGATACTGTTGCAGTGCTGGAGGAAACAATTTTAAAACTAGATAAGAAAAGACATGAATTATTAATTGATCCAGATGCTGGTAATGTGTTTGGTTTGGTGGATGTGAGGTCAAGTAAGGGTGAGCTCATAAGCTGAGAGCCTGTCAAAGTGTTTAACAGCTGAGTTTTGCACACAATTAGTCTAATGTGCCATGGTTGAGCTGTTTGAGTGTAAAATGTATTTTTTAAATCAGGTGGCATATTTTTTTGCATTAAAACAGATAACAACTAAATAACAAGTTACTAAAGTAAAAATATAGAAATGCCATGCTCTCACAAACTCTGCTGGCCTCCCTCTCTGCAGCATGAAAGATTTTGCGGAAGAAAACAAGCCAAATGGACAAAGAGATTTATAGCAATCTGTTGCGTTTGTGGCTAAAGCTTTTAATGCATACGCTGCATGAACACAGTCAGATGGCAGCTACGTGTTCTGCTCTCTAATGAAACTGCTCTGATATATCTTAGTTATTTTTAAACTGCTAACACCCATAGCATGCTGCAACTGAGAAACGGTTCTTAATTGGTTGTTTAGAAACGTGGTTATGACCTTGGTTTCTGTCTAATCTTAGACAGATCACAAGAAGCCTTATGACACAAAGCGTTGATTTTCCCAATTAGGTTTTGCAAATCATAATAAATTCAGTTTTTCAGGCAAAGCTTCAAAGTATAAGTGTATTTAACTTTGATTTATGCGGGAGTCTTGTGTTACAAGGGAAGAGCATGTCATAATGTTATTGCTGTATTACCACACTAAATGGCACATTACGTTTTGAAGCTTCAAATGTGATAACCAGTCCACATACTGACTGCAAGATGGTATGAAGTATGTGGTCGTAACACTTGGAAAATGACTAAATTAGGCACACTCAAAAGAGAAAGAATGCACTTATCATGCTGTACACCATTGTCCCAAAATACAATACAAAAAGGGAAATAGAGGCACTACTAACAGTAGCATTGTGTGACCTCTGGAGGAACTTTCACAAAAAATAT